TCTTTAAATGTTGGGGGGGGGCGGGGCGGGGGAAATGAAGGAGTTTTAATCAAGCGGAATTTATTCATGCAGTTTTGTTTGATTAAAAAAAAAAACTGAAAGGAACGCACACGAGTAGGGGTTTTATTTATATGAACGCCACGATCCTCCCTCTTTTGTTAAGATTTTTAATCAGCCTCTTTGCCTCCGCTATTGAGCTGCAGTGTAATGAATACATATCGATGACTGCTCAGCATTAATAATCATTTTGTAACCTTTCACCAAATTGCATCCAGTCGTCGTCATCAGTATCACCCGCCATGATCTATTAACTGCTGGACGGAGGACTCTGCGATGCGTAAACACCACCCCCAACATCAATTTCGTTTCTGCGCTCGAGACAATCTCGTCTCTCCACGGTGGTCGTCCTCTGGCGGCGGTTCGACTCCTTTGGCTGCCATTCCATCACCAGTCTCGTCCATCGGACAGCAGCGTCCTCCTCAAGCGACGCACTCCCCATCGCCCAAGGCCCCCACTTACACGGCACTTGACAGTGACTGCATGCTTCGTCTATATCGTTCTCTAATCCCTGTTTTAGTGTTTTCCTCTTCCGTGTCTCGATTTTCATTTCTAAGATGCAAATATCTGACAAACACCCTTAGTGAGGGTGTATCTCATCGCCTGACTCCTCTCTGATTTGTGGTTTTGTCGCTTTGTGAATGTAATCTCAGTGTAGATGTCCAATCTTTTCAAATGTCCTGAGCACTTAAATGGCTGCATCGATTTCCACCGATCAAATGCCTTTCCACATCTACAAAAAAACAATTATTTGGTATTCACTTGCTTTATTCTATAAAAAAACGATTAATGTAACTTGTATTTTATATCTGAGGCTTGTCACACAAGCGAAGGACGCTCGTCAACGCGAGTTGTCTGTGCGTAACGTACCAAATTTGCCAACAGAAGTGAATTTCACTTTAAACGCAAATCGTACTTAAGGCCGTCTCTTAATTGAAGCGTGGACATAGTTTTTTAGCCGTTATAGGGGTTTTGTTTCAAGAGCAAGGTGCTGTGAATGGATAGCAGTGTGCTGCTACGACTGCCCTTCAGAGTCAAAGGGAAACGGCTTGAACTGGCCATAGCTTTCCCTAACACAGTCCCGCCGTGCACCCCCCCCCTCCCCCTTCCAGTTTTCCAATACCTTGGGGGCACTGAGCAATTGTAATCCATTGGGGCCAATCTCAGTTTTAAAATATTTATTGCATCATCAAAGAGACGCGCCAGTTGGAAGTGGCTTCCTCTGCATCCTGACAAATCTGTGGTGAAGATCCAGCAGATGTCCGAACGCACTAATGCGCCCTTCTACAGCTATCGATTTAACATAATGCATTTTTAATGCGGGGCTTGAGAAGCGAAAGAGAAGTAGGTGATGTGGATGTTCCATGATGGATGTGCATGGTGTTTATATGCAGCAGTGCCGTTTAATGCAATATATTTAAATTAAATATTTTGCTTTTCCGAAATTATGAGCTGTAATTGGGAACTCCGAGAATAGTTTAAATATATATGTTATTCCTGCTCCTGCACAGATGGTCTTTGGCTGAAATTGTATTTCTTCTAGATATCAGCACTTCCGCTAAATTAGCATGATGTTTCAGAGCTTAATGGGCTCTCTGACGCGTGTTTTTCTTCCTGTGTCGTAGATATTACAGCGTTACAGTTGCTTTTACTCCTTTTGGAGTGGAGAAGCGGCGCAGTAGTTAGCGCACTACGCGCTACGAACCCAGTGATCTGAGTTCGATTCCCAGCCATGGCTCAAACTCAGCGGTGAGTGATACCTCAACCACCGGCCCATTTGGATTGCAAATCCAGTGCGCTGACCGTTCCACACGTCCCCGCCGCTTTGAAACATCTAGCTGTAAATTCGCAATCGTCAATGCTTCCACACTTGCGTTGTGAAGCTACAATGTGAAAATGCAACGTTCGCGTTGTTAACACAACGAGGCTGAGAATAACATGGGGAATTGTAACTGCGAACATCTGCAAGCGTGAACGCAGCTCCGCACGTCAAGCTATATTTAGATTGAGGAAGGAAGCGATGGAACTTTGAATACTGTCTGAAAGCACATTTCAGAAAAGGAAGATATTTTTTCGTAACAATTTGCAGTTAATGGCTTGCTCTTCCTGATTTCACGGGCAATACATACAATGACCTTCCATAGAAATAGGAATTCACTCTGGCGTATGCAAATGAGGCCGCTCTATTCAAAACCGAGCAAAACAATAAACTAAAAATAATGTAATGCCTTGCTACCCTCTGATAATGTAGTCCACAAAGCATGGTGAGACCACAATCACTGCATTGCGAACCTGTGCGCCCTACGGTATGTGTGTGCAGATGCTGGCAAAGGTGCAGCCCTGCATTTGCAGGCTCACCCCACTGCTTGTGGAAGGACCCCCGCTAGAGGGAGCGCCAGACGTTTTGGAAGAGGTGGGAGTACAAGAGATATAATAATTAAAATGCATAATGCGCATTCCATATTAGAATCCCAATGCGCAATGTGTGAAAAGCAGGAAACAAAAACAGACCCAGGCCAACCGTCCAAATTAAAGAGGGAAGGCCACTTTAAAGAGATGGGTTTTCAAAGCAGACTTGAATATATCTACTGACTCTGATTGCCTAGTTTCAAGTGGAAAGGCGTTCCATAGCTTGGGCGCCATGCTAACAAAAGCCTGATCACCAAATAAGCGCAACCTAGACCTGGGAGTGCTGAGCAGTTGGGGATTAGAAGATCTTAAGGACCTTGATGTAAAAAAACATGAATTAGTTTTAAAGCCAAAAGGTTATAGCAGTATCTTGAAATCCACTCGGAATATGACTGGTAGCCAATAATTAACCCACCACACTGGCGATCGACTCACTAGGTGGACAGAGACGAGGTGGGGAGGGTGTATAAGCTCTCACATTGTTTCAACTGCAACGCCGGCAGATCGCATGGAACCAGCGACTATCTGCATTGCGAGACCGGTGTGCTAACCGTTACATCACGTTCCGTGCATAATGCACTGGATCCTAAAAGCCCGCTTGCCCTCGGAGGACAAAGCGGGCAAACTTCTGCACTAAAGCCCCCTCCGATGAGCGTTACACTGTCCTTGCTAAGCTTTATGACCCGTGGCTGATGTGAGCGCTGGAGCAGTCTCCCCCACCGACGTGAACGTTAACAAACCCCCCCCCGCCCCGCCCCCCCCCCCCTAGGCCACTTCCCCACCGCCACCACCAGCAACCAGCCTTAAAAACATATTTTATTGGCGTCGTGGGCTCACGAGATGGAGTAAGCACTCGCATCTTAGCCATTAGCGTGCTATTTTGCGTACCTTAATGTGGAAATATTTGTATTTTTTCCTCCCATCGGCCAAGCTGAGGTGATCTGTTGCCTTCATGGCAAAGGGAGACAGGGAAAAGGAAATCGCTCAATAACAAAACTCCGACCCCATGCGATGCTACCCCTGGCCTCATCAGCGCATTCCATCAAGAATGTTTCATCTTCCACTTAAGGGCCCTTTTGTTGTTAGCCTCCTGGGCTGGTGTCGCTGCATAAAGTGGCACGTCCGTGATATAAAAAAAAACAAAGCACAGTCGAGTCCTAGGGAGGGGACAGCCGAGGTGTGGCGTGGTGGTTGGCGCGCTGCGATCTGAACCCGCTGAGTTCGATTCCTTGACCACAGCCTAACATCAGTGGGCGAGTGATATGTGAACCGATCCTTTCGCCCCCCCCCCCCCCCCACCTCCACCCAAAGTCATCCCTAAAGGGTACGGAGAATCGGGGCGACCGCCCTGGGCCCCGCACTTTGGGGGTCCCCGGGCTTCAACGTCACGCGGTGTCAGATTTAATACTTCCCCGTTAATTTTGAAGACGTGGGACTTTCCCCGCCCCACACTCTTGGCGGCTATGCACGCGCCACACGCTTTCACCAACCTGCGCTGACCAGCGTGGTGAAGTATGGTCAAACAAACTACAACACGGCATGGCTAAGCCTTCATCCGACAGAGGATTAAAATGGCTGCAATACTTCACGCTCTACCATCAACGAGTCAAAAAACGCAAAGTGACGAATCGATTTTTCTTTTTCACGTTGCGGCGAATTGCAGCGGCCACTAATAGTTGCTCGGTTCGCGTAAACCCTTAACATACATTACTTTTCTTGTATCGTTTAATAATCGATATGAATCGATGCATTGCTACACCTCCAATTGTGTGAATTGTGTTATTAATCGGTGCAATGTCAGCATTATTTCCACAGCTCAGTGTGTGGTCACAATCGTTATGCTTCCTAACTAAAGCGTATACAGTGTGTGTTAATTTCATCACACGACAATCATTATGATTTGCAACGTCCTCGCGTAATCTACAATGATGTATTCTGTGTAATAATCGGATAATTAATATTTGTAAATTTCTGAATTAAAATTAAGGTGTGCACGAGGGGACGCGTGTGCTCGTGGTTTCGCTCTTTGCAGTATGCAGAGCAATTCACCATCTCGATCTTGCATTCAGCCGCAGCCCATTGCTTATTTTAGATTAAGCGCGACCCTTCTCGATACCATTTCTCATTTTATTGCATAGCACACACTTGTCTATGCCAATATGCATTGACCGTAACGTCTTGCAAAGACGTCACGTAATTTTTTTTCAAACAACCCAATTCACTCTCTATCGATATATTATCATTGTACGTGAAATGTGACAACAAAAATGTCTAACCTCATAATTTCACAACCGTAGATTGTTGGGGGGGGGGGGGGGGGGGGGGGAACACCAAGCCTGAAAAACGTTCACGCTTCATCGAACTAGTGTGAGTCTGCAGACACCGTGACCGTATGAATCGTGGTCTTTTTGTCAGCAATGCATTTGCCTAGGGGGGAGTAAATGAGGTGAATGGGCCGTGTGCAGTCGTGTGTACGCTCCGTGTTTCATGTACATATACATAAGGGGCTTCTCGGAAAAGGTCAGAGCGTTCGCTTGCCCTGAATGAATTTCTGGTTCTGCAGGATGGAGGTTAGCCAGAAAACAAAGTAACGGGCTACGACTGATCGATGGGGTGTTATCAGATTGCTTTCGTTAAGCGAATGGGGAGTGACCGTAGTATTTATTGCGACCGAAGCCTTATGATGGGATAAGCCGACCCAAGCCCAACCCCCTTGGTTCTCACATCACGAATACACATATATACCCATAGCGTCTCTCGGTTTCGCAGTGCAGTTACAGAGGCAATCCGCAGCTCTCGCCGCATTGGCCATTAGGATCGAGCAGACGGCGGACACTTTAATGGTGCCGCCTGTGATCTAAGGACTCGCGCACGCTGGCCCCTGCCTTTAAGGGCTCTCTGCCATCATGAGCAGCCGGCAGACGCCACTCTTCGTGCTGTTGCTGCTCTGCAGTTTGCTATCGCAAGGTAGGTTTCGCAGAGTTAAACGTCGTCGTCATTGTTATTGCCTAATTTTGCAAAGGGTGTCTCAGCGTCTAAACATAAATCGTATCGTGTCACTTTTGATTTACAATATATGTCTTTAACACGCTGCGCGGTGTGCAGTGCCGTTGCCCGTGCACGATAATCGCAAGTTTGCTTCAGCACCCTGGACAGCAACCAATGCATAATGCAGATGGCGAATGCCCAGTCGGAACGTTTGATAGTAATTAAATTAAGACGCTAGACTATGCAATAGAGGCGTTGACTATAGAATGCGTGCGATGCATTTCCTCGCCTTTTGCGAGTGATGTGTCCAGTTTATGAATTATTCGCCCTCGACTTTCTCCCACTCGTACGGATGGAGTCAGAATGTGCGCGAAGCCCATGCATTTATTTACAATCTCATTGACTTTCACAAGCGGCAAGAAACCAACGGGCAATTGTAAATGCGATCTCATGCAGGCCATGCCTGGAAGTGTTAAAGGTGAATATATCTCTTGGTCGGATATCCAATTGCATAGTTGATCACGAAAGCGATCCGATTTTCTCTGTGCGTTAAATATTGCACGGCTGTTACGTCAATTTCCAAAGGTTAAGTGTGCCGACTGGTTAAGTTAACGGAGAAATGCTTCACGTCAAATGGTCTTGACACATGCGCGCGCACGTTGATTCGTGGTGGCTTGTGAAATCCACTCACTGTCTCCGAATTCGTGTACAGCATCGCGTTTGTCTCACTGACGGCTTTTCGAGTGCGCCATTCTCGTTGCACAACCGAATGAAGTTGTTATCTCTGCGATCCATCTCACTCATAGGCACACTCCAATCACTCCATCTTTCTTTGATCGTCTCGTCGCGTGTATTTCTTTCCTCAGCTTCAATGCAGTCAACAAGGTAATATCCATCTATCTAGTCTCATCTTATTCTGCGGCCATCCATTGCAAACGATGATGACTGCGGAGAACAGCTGGTAGTAGTTGGTGGGATGAGAGGCCAGCCCTTGAGCGGAAGCATCGGCCCGCACTCTGTGGGCAAGAGTTGCTGCTCATCTGTTGATTAGGATTCGTGTCGTGGATGTCGATGTTGGTGTTGATGCTGACAGGAATTTTCCATTTTGTAACATAGATCCCTTCCGTTTAACACGTAGGCTTTCACGACTAATATCATCCATAATACAGGTTTTTTTGGGAGGTTAGATCGCGTAAAATATATAAATGCGTCGTGAAACCCGCCAACACCCAACACAGCCAATTATTAAGGTTCATCACCTAAACAGAACATGGCAATCCAATTAAATAATTATTTGTAATGGTTTATGTTGCATTACCTCTTTTGTCTATCCGAGCCATTCCAAGGGAGCATCTCTTCCGCGGTGTTTAAATTAATTGAGACCTTTTAAGCAAATCTGTTTCAAAGACAATGCATATATTATCAGAGCATGTTTGTTTGCATGTTTTGCAAAGCACGAGTGGTTAATGCAGACACGATTGCCTTGCAAAATTTATCTATTTGGCGTTTGAACATCTTTACACCTTTTTAAATCGCCAGAAAGTGTAACATCTCTACTTGTACTTTTCATCATTTTTAATGTATTGCTCGTGTAAGTTCACCGGACTAGGTGGATGACCACACCTTGCAAGATCGTGGGAGATAGCAGTGGCTTAGGGAGGCTTTCATTCAGCAGTGGATTTACCATGGCTGATGATTGCGATGACCTGTGACCCCTTCCCGTTGTTGTGTTTCAGCCTCGCTGGCACCTTTGACTGGGCAGCTGTCCAAGGAAGACGAAGCGGTTGGTTAATTAAATTAATTAAATACTTCCGCACCAGTGGAGACTAGGCTCTATGAAAAGCCGTTTCGGGTGTGGACCAATCAATTTCAAGGACAGTGCATATCATTATCAGAGTTGTCTCTTTTTCTTTGCATTTTGACTGCTTGTGTTGTGGTTATTACAAACATGATCCCTTGTATAAAGGTGTCAGTTTTGGTGCCAGATAAAAGGGTAAAAACCTATTACTACTTCCGCTCCGTTTCGTAGTAAACATTGAGTTAATGTCACCCTCTCGTGCATGACGAATCACCGTGGGTGGCCTGTTACGACTCATGAGACATGTATTTGAAGAATTCTCAAAACATTTCAGGGGGTTCCTTTGAATCCTAAAAAAAAGCATACTAAATCAAAATAAATATTGGTTTTGCTTTGAATTACCCATGCATCGTGAGAGGGAGAGTTAATCGAGTCGAATGCAACACGCTTCGGTAATAGATTTGCAACGTGCACGCTCCGTTGCAATGTAACAGTCAAATACTGCGATGTAGGAATGCGCAGAAAGACAACGTGGTCGCACTACGAGCCGCCCGCACGGGCAGACGACAGACCTTCGAGCGTGTACGTGATGAGTGAACGGCGAGTGTGCGCGCTGTCGTTTGAAGGTAATAAAGTGCATCATCGAGGTGCTGTCCGATACCCTGAGCAGAAGGGAGGATTCCACTCTAACCAAGGAATGCCTGGAGATACTGAAGAGCGGTTCGTATGCACTCGTATTTTAATGACAGCAGAAGCTGCGTACACAAAGCACACCCCCGTCGGGCGTAATAAGACCAGCTGTGCGCTTGAATCAGAAGTTTCCCTTCGCCTTCATCTCCCACGAGGTTCATGTAAAGAGCGTTGTTGCTTCGATGACAACTGCCATTACGTAAAGTGTAACTTATATCCAGCCTCCGAGTCTCAAGTTTTATTTTGTTGAACCCGGTGAGAAGTCACCAGACCAGCATGGAGGGTTTGTTTGCGAGATTGTGACCTGGGGCACCGAGACGACAAGAGCAAATAACATTTAAAAAAGAAACAGTGTGGGCAATGAAGCAAATAGCTTCTACTGTGATGATTTACAGAAACATTGCTCTCAAAATGTGGACCTTGTCGCTGAGAAAAGGCGATTTTAGAAATGATCGTTACGAAAACTAGGAGATAATATGCCGATCAGCATGTGTATCGTTAATTACTTTGTCTAATTATAATCATTTAAATAAATTAGCCCGCGCCAATGATCCAATCACAGGTGAATAGCATTCGATACCGTCAGATATCGGAAGAGTAAGCAAACTCGAACCTGGATAGGGCTCGGTGTCTCACCCACCATGCACAAATAGGGTTGTGATAAGGCTGTTGGACTGAAATGTGCAGAGAAAAAAAACATGTGCTGTATAGTATTTCTATGCTCTCTGCCTTTAACTGGCACTGACCAGCGTGGTAAGGTATGGCCAATGAACTCCCACGACCCGTGATGGCATGGGGAGGCCCTCGTCCGGCAGTGGATGGACAACAAAAGCGCTTAACCTATGCAACATTAGGCACAGGTAATGGATGATGAAGAAAAATAATATGGGTTTTTTTTCATTGTAAGTACATGTTTTCATTCACTTTTGCAGACCAGCGGATATATGACTTGCTGCAACACGACAGTGTTTTGAATGGACTCCAAGAACTGGCGACACCAAGTAAGGAATCACCTTCCGCTGCCAATCAAATCACGAGTCCATTCGGTATTCGCGTCATTCTTATAGCAACAAGGCGACCAAGTTGTTTTATAGCCCGTTTCACAATATTGTTCATGTTTTTGTTTTTTTTGTTTGTTGCGGTTGCACCCGATTCAAGAGCCGAATGGCTCACAGGGCTATACCAAATAAATGAAAACTTTGAAAAAAAAAGCTATGAAAAAACAATACGAGAGGCACACGAAGTATTCTGTGCTTATTTACGTTGTCGAGCGATACCACACACAAACACGACCTCGTGTGCCTCTCTGCCCTGCTGCTGACTTCACGCATAGCTCTGTGGCCATATCGGAGATGTGAAAACAAATGTTTGGTGATGCTACGTTGGCAGTGATGCGACAAGCACCACCGATTAGCACGGTTAAGGTACGGACGGTGCGAAAGAAGTTCATCATAATACAACAAATTCCATGCTCATGTTTGTGCTATGGAGAAGGGTAATTTTCCTACACGTCGCCTATTATGTTTTTTCCCTTTTAAAAAGGTGCCATTGATAAATGTGTTGACTTTTATTTCGTTAACATAGGAGAGTTGTATTTTTTTTGCCAAGTGTACACACTCCATATTAATGCGACAGCAGCTCCATGTTATGGGTCAGATATAAGGACACGTTGAAGGATTATAACCTCAAACCTTAAGGCTGACGCTTCAAACCCATCCGCTGTCAACGATCGCCCTAATAAGGGACGTACTGTAGCCGCATTTGCACGTGAAAAGCCACCAGAAATACAAATATTTATATAGCAGCACTCAAGCAGGGGATAGCCGAGCACTCCACCATCGAGGCGACCGGAAGAGTACAGGCAGAGACGTGAATGGGTCGCGTAACAACAGTGAGTTGTTTACATTGTTATTCTAGCGACGTTGCATCGTGTTTAAGACAAATTATTAATTTGACTGGTTTTTTAGAAGCGACGCTTCCGCATTCGGATAGTAATTGTTCATCAAATGTGGTATGGAATTGAATGCAACTATATCCTCTTAATTACATACACAATAACTCATGGTCGTATGTGTGTGCGTGCGTGTATTTGTGAACCCTTCTTCATAGCACATACATGAATGGGGAGTGGTAGTGTAGCGGTTAACGCGCTGCGCTACGAACCTGGCGATCCGTGTTCCATTCGCGCTCAAGGGCCAACACCAGTGACGATTATCTGAACCGGTCCTGCGAATCCTCTTCTAGGTAGACTCAGCCTCAAATGAGTACTTGGTGCGATGTGTAAATATCGCCACTAGGGAGACAAAGGCGGCCGGGAGTGATGTTGGCCACCCACCCCCTCGTGTGCCGTGCCGGCCTTCATAGGTGCTCGCTAACAGCACTTGCCCAAACAGTCTGTTAAGGCTATAAGGGTGATCTTTGTCTTTGTATTGGTGAATGAGATACATATGAATGAGATGCAATTTAATGGCGATTAAAAGACAGACAATGCAGGGAGATTCCCGTTATGGACAAGATCTAAACTGTATAATCTCCTCTCGTTTATAATGGCACAAATTGGTAATTGCCAGTCTTCAATAGACAATTTTAAAACATGCTAATGAAGCTAATCATTTTGTTGCTTAGTGCGTTAGGCGTAAAGACAATGTAATTACCACGATGATTCATTATATCCTTTCTGAAATAAGTGTTTCAGTCATTGAGTAATAAGTTCCGTAGCGCTTCAAGGTAAGCATTTAACACAAGTGTGCAGGACATTCATTATTAACCTCCCATCCAGGGTAATCCATCCTTTCTCACTTAGCGATAAATAAACCAAGGGCATTCCAACCAATAATTCATCACGTTTTTCCAGGCCAAGTCAAACACAAGTCTCTCGCATCTGGGTCTGAAATTCGATCGCCGTATTTATTCAGCACCCGTTAAACTAAATCAAAACTTGTTCAATATAAAAAAAATAGATATTTAGAAATATATATAAATTATTGCACCGCAAACCAAATCACCCTGAATACGCTCAATCTCATCGGAGCTCGGAATATAAGCAGGGATGAGCCTGGTTCTTGAATTGGGTGACCAACTATGTCTGGCCAGGCGTTGTAGGCATGGGGCAACAGGATGGCTGGGAATTGGCGATGAAACTTGGACGTGTACAGCCTCGCATGCATGGGTTTTATCCAGGTTCTCTTCCACGTGCTAAAAAAGATCTATAATCGCCACATATCCTCATGTTGGACCCTCCCTAAAAATATTAATTGACACTCATTTGAGACTTCCCAGGCTAAATAACTGGCATTTATGATTCAACTTGTACGGTAGCATCTTGAGAGAGCAGTGTATTAGTCATCATGAGAGAGATAATTAACACAAGTGCAGAAAAGTTGCTCGTGTGTGCAGTCTCTAGACCAAGATACAGACGGCAGCATGTTAAAAAGACATACACACATTTTAGTGTATCGCAGGATCCTGAGAGATGGAGGCAGCATGGTGAGACCTACATTCCTCAGTGAATTGATCATGGCTAGTGATGATGACGATGATGAGGATATACATTTATACATTATATTACACAGTAATTACATTTTAAGTGATACTTTTTTTTACGACACATTCGATTTCACAGCTCTAAAATTTTTTTATTTTTTAAAGGAACGCGTGTAAATGGTGACATCAAATGACTTTGCCTGGCAATGTGTCGCGTGCTTGTGTGCATGTCGCAACTGACATTCTCGGGTGTAATATTCGTTGCTCGTATTCTTCCCCAGGTGTAAAACTGACACCGAGCCGACGAGGTGACAGCAGGGATTACCTCTGGGATGACTTTCGCAGGCACTGGGAGAAGCGATTCACGGAGCCCAGCGAAGGTACAATAATAGCTTCCCCTCTTTGACCTGTGCAGCCGCAGCGTCTGTGGAAGCTGCATGGTGCTGCGACAATGGCCAGACTCCACTGGCCCACCAGTAGCCGACATTCCATGGGGACTTGGACATGTGCAGCCAGTTTTGTCAATCCGCTGCTGGGTGAGGGCCCACCCCACGCTGTTAATTTGCTCACTTTTCATGCAACTGCAGATGGAGGCAAAGCAACTCGGCATTGGCGAGAGTTGTGGTTGCTGACCTCTCTCGCCCCGCGGCCGCTGTGATGCGCAAAAAAAATTGCGGACCACCACGCCCGATGGAATTTTTTTTTTTTAAAGCGATAATGAAGACTACTTTAAAAGTGCTTTCAGTTACGATTTTAAATAAATGCATACAAAGATTAACTCTTCTTCGCCATTGATTCGTATAAATAGTGCAATGGATAGCAACACAACAATGTAGTTTGATGTAAAAATTAAAATCTTAAGTAGCTGCAACATTCCCGCGGATCGCTCCTTCCCGCGTCCTCGTGCAGAGCCGCGGGTTCCCAACCGGAGTCACGCGGGGACCCCTGGGAGTACGGGGCAATGCCCCAGCGGGGTGCGTCGTGAGACGATTTATAAACGCGTGAAATTATATCGTGCGTGATAGAGTCGCTGGCGAATAATCACGCATGAATCTGCCAATGTAAGAAATAACGAGGATAAAATGTTAAATCCATGTGGTAACATAGAACGGTCGTTAACAATTGCGGTTTCCAAGAGTAACTCATGAGGGGTGAACAAATCACGTCATGCGTGCAGAGTGTCTTTTGGTTTTTATTCGCTTGCAGTTACCAGCTAGTTGGGATACCTCACGAAATGGACAATTAGTTAAGAAAATATTGCCGTTGATTATGCACATATTTATTCATCAGAGCCATGTTTGGTCAGGCAAGGGGGGTAACACAGTAGCCAACGAAAACAAATGTTGACAACCACTGTTCTAGAGCATGAACTCTTGGGCGAGAATGAGTCGTGTGGTTGTGCCCAATGTGCCCGTGTCCAGAAGAAGATGTTCGGTTCTCTGGCAAAGAGCACGCCGAGCCACGCGGCCACCACGTGGACGACAAGCGACTGTGGCGGTTCTGGCCGTCGGTAGAGGAGGAGGGGGAAGAGGAGGCCAAAGAGCACGGGAAGCAGCCCATGGAAGAAACGAGGCGGCACCACGAGGAGGAGGATGAGAGGAAACGGCACCGCGAGGATGACCGCAGTGAGCCGGAGGAGAAGGATGAGGACGAGGAGGATGAGAAAGACGGCGGAGAGGCAAAGCGTCATCACGACGGCAGGCACAGCGCGGAGGACACGAAGCGGCACGCGGACCGGCACGGCGAAGAGGGGGGCGACGACCCACGTCATCGTGCGGACAGACGGGGCGTGGAAGAGGAGGAGGACGAGGAGGAAGAGGAGGACAGGGAACGCCACCATCCAAAGCGGCACCACGACGACAAGCACGACGACGACGAAGAGGATGAGGAGGTGGAAGAGAAACGCCACCTCGGTGAACAGCGAAGTGAAGAGGAAGAGGAGAACAAACGCCACCGTGACGACAAACGAAGCGAGGAGGAGCGTGAGAAGCGTCACCATGGCGACAAGAGAAGTGAGGAAGAGCAGGGCCCTGTACATCACCATGGAGACAGGCACAACGCAGAGGAGGAGAAGCGTCACCATGGCGACAAGAGAAGCGAGGAAGAGCAGGGCCCTGTGCATCACCATGGAGACAGGCACAACGCAGAGGAGGAGAAGCGTCACCATGGCGACACGAGAAGCGAGGAAGAGCAGGGCCCTGTGCATCACCATGGAGACAGGCACAACGCAGAGGAGGAGAAGCGTCACCATGGCGACAAGAGAAGCGAGGAAGAGGACAGCGACGAAGACGACAAGCGTCACCATGGCGACAGAAGAAGCGAAGAGGAGGTCGAGAAACGTCACCATGGCTACGAACACGGCGAGGAAGGGGAAGACGTCGAACGTCACCACGGCGACAAACGAAGTGAAGAGGAGGGAGAGTCTGAAGAAGGCACGCGCAGCAAGGGGACGGAAGAGCACAACGGACATCACCGCTTAGATAAAAAGCATCACCATGACGACAGGCGGAGCAGCGAGCGCTACTTTGAGCGTCCCGGCGAGGAAAAGCGTCACCACGACGAGAGAGCGAGCGACGAAGAGGCCGAGGAGGAGGAGGAGGAGGAAGACGGCGAAAGGAAGAAGCGTCGCCACGGAGAGACGAGGCACAACGAAGAGGAAGATGAGGAAGAGGAAAAGAGACACCGCCACCGCGAAGAGAAAAGACATCGCAGCAGCGAGATAGAAAGCGAGGAGGATGAGGAGAAGCGACACCGTCGGGGAAGCCAAAGCGATGATGAGGAGGACAAAACACATCATCACGGAGATGACAAGCGCCACAGCAGCAGCAGCAGCAGCGTGAGCGAGGACGACGATGCTGAGGACGACGAGGACGAGCGTCATCGCGAGGAGAAGCGTCACCGAGAAGAAAAGAGGGCACGGGGCGAGGAGTGGGAGAGTGAAGGTGACGACGGAGAGAGGGACACGAAACGCGACGACGACGACGACGACGATCGTCATCATCGTCGTCAGCGCAGTCACCGCCACCAGGACAAACGCTCCAGGGAAGAGGACCGACGGAGCGAGGAGAGCGAGCGTCGTCAGCGCGGCCAAACGCGCGGCTCGGAGGAAGAGGACCGCGGCTCGGAGGAGAAACGCCTCAGGGAGAAGCGCAGCGAGAGCGACGGCGGCGAGGGAGCCGCGGCGAGCACGGAGGAGAAGAGGTCCCACCGGTTCCTCCCTCGCGCCGGGGGCAAAGACGCACAGATCCACGAGAAATTGCCCGACGACGAGGACGACGAGGAGGAGGACGAGGAGGTGGAGGAGGAGAAGAGCGAGGAGCATGGGGGCAGCAGCGCGGAGCTGAGGCGTCAGGCCACGCCGGAGGTCGAGCGACCGGGCCCCGTGGCGGACCCCGACAAGCGCACGACGGAGTCGGCCAGGGACGAGGAGACGAACCAGTTCAAGGTTCACAAGAAGGGCGAGTCGGAGGGAAATGAAGGTAAAGCTCAGGAGGTACGTGTGGCCAGGGCAAAGCCCTCTGCTTGGAGTCATCGGAGACTATTCCGTTGTTGTTGTTGTTTCCTCTGCGTTCAAAATGGAATTCCGGCGTGACGCTTACATATTTGTTCATTTCATGTCTGTTGTTGTTACTATTATCGGTGGTTTGACAGATTTGTGATCGTTGCATCGCAGGACCGTGAGGGATGGCAACCGCTTTGGCAGGCCATCATCCAGCAGTGGATTGATCACGGCTGATGGATGATGTTTATAATATTCGCACGATCGTAATCTCTGGGGTGGTTTTAATGTTTGGCTTCTTGCTTTGCTTGCGAGAACAAAGACAAAGATCCCCCGTATAGCCTTAACATACTGTTGGGGCAAGTGCTGTTAGCGAGCATCACCTATGAAGGCCTGAACGGCACACGAGGGGGTGGGTGGCCAACACCACGCCGGGCCGCCTTTGTCTCCCTAGGGGAGGATGCCCAGGTACCGGTTCAAATAATCGTCACCGGTATTGGCCGTGAGCGGGAATCGAACCCAGGTCGCCAAGTTCGTAGCGCAGCGCGCTAACCACTACACTACCGCTCCCCACACACATACACACGCACACGTGCGCACGTGCACACACACGCGCGCGCACGTGCACCCTTGACCCTTTGACCCGTGCCAGAGTTACCGACGCAGTCCTTCAGTATCGCGTGCAGGTGTGGTATGGCAGCGCGTGGAACACCTGGGTCACGCCAAAATGGTCTCGTCACGATCACGATGACGTCGTTGACTGAACGACCCAAAGACATCCAGTGGACGGAGAAGACGGGAGAGAGACATGCGAATGACGACAATTGAATCGTGATTGTGTGGACGTTCGGGCTTCAGCGGCTGTTTAATAAATCAGGGGCCTGGCCGAGTCACGCGAGAGCTGACACAGACCGTGGTGGCGGGCGTGCTAACAGGGTTGTTACACGGTTGGTTACGTACGGTGCGAAAGAAGGTTAACAAAAAGCAAAGACGCATATCCCTCCCCGCTGTGTAGCCTGTGACAGACTCTAGGGGCAAGTGCTGTTAACGAGTAGCACCTATGAAGGCCGTCACGGCACACGAGGGGGTGGGTGGCCAACACCACGCCCGGCCGCCTTTGTCTCCCTAGTGGTGATGTTTACACACCGCACCGGGTACTCAATTGATAGCTGAGTCGACCTAGGGGAGGACGCCCAGGACTGGTTCAGATAATCGTCACCGGTGTTGGCCGTGAGCGGGAATTGAACTCGGGCCGCCGGGTTCGCAGCGCTAACCAATGCCAATAACCCGCCAATAGGCACTAAGGGACGGCGACGTCACCACGGCGCCTGTGCCAGGCCATGTGCACTTTGAGGCAGTCACGTGAAGAGTCGAAGGCTCGTTGACAGCAGCAGGTCACGGGACACACCCAGCAGGTGCCATTGGTCGACTGGCTGAGACGACGCACCACCTGTGCCCACTACCCTGCCAGCTTGCTGTATTTTATCCGCCCGGAGCTCCGCTCGTTGTTGTGAGCGTCGCTCCTCTGCCCCCAGGTGTTGTTTGGAGGGCGACTGCCTCCCAACCGCCCAGTAGCAGCAGCAGCAGCAGCATCTTTCACGAGCCCTACACGACCACACCAACCACACCGTAGTAGGGCAGGCGGCCAGCGCGTGCCCTACTCACAGTCGTTTGCGTTGCCCTTTCGTTGCAGGTGAAAGAACTCACGAAGTTGGCCAAGATGGAAGCCGAGCTGGAGAAAATTGTTCAAAGGTTGAGTGCAGCTAAGAGTTAGCGTGACCCCACTGGGGCAGCTGCAGCGACCACCACCACCACGACGACCACCACCACGACCCGCTCCCCCAGCGCAGCACTTTCATCGGCAGCGAGCGCCCGCTTCACACACAACACACACACACCCACATCTATAATATCTCTATAACCCGCTGTGTTTGTGATGGGCCAGCGCGTTGTCGTTGCTGCTAAATGTCACCCCCCCTCCCCTCCCCCCACACACACTCACCGGTGCACGTGGGTGTTTGTTAGCCTGCGGTAACAATAACAACAACAAAAACCAGTGGCGGTCGTGAGATGAATATATATGAAACCGTGCATGAATTGTGTAAGCGGTGTTTTATTATTTGTTTAGTTGCCGTGTGTTGATGAGCAGACGAGACGCATCTATTGCAGACTGAAAAAGCTGAACCCGAAAGCACACGGAAAGTATTGGTTTATTGTTGGTTTCCTGTTGGTTTATTGTTAGTTCTAATCACAGTCTCGCCCGAGTGTTTTGTCGTTTTTGCCGTAATGCAAATAAAAAAAGTATTAATTGCAAGCATACGAGTTTGTTGTTATATTCCTGAACGCTTTGCAACGTCACGTTTACCACGTCGTTCAGCCTTAAATGTAGGCTCCACTTCTCGTGGACCCGACACAGAATGCATTCACCAACGTGGACGTTGTGAACCAGTCCGGTGCTGCATAGCCCGATACAACATACGAGCAGGACGAACGATTCTGCGCAAACGAACACGTCACAAAATCTGAAAAGTCACGCGCAGAATCACAGGAAGAGTCGTGCGTGAATTATCCGTGTGACATTACATTGCACATACGAATGTAAAGACGCGAGAATTTAAAAACACATGACAGTTATTCCACCCCATGCCCCTGTGCGATTCCATATTTACACAGCTCGAAGAAATCCACAGTCCAAATGCGAGGACACTAAATATGGTTTGGAGATGACTATAGAAAGGATACAACTCTAGCACTGCAATAAAGAATGACGGGTATCAATGAAGCAACACAGCGAGAAGAGTTAATGGGGTCCCACCGTCATTCGTAAGCTGATGGGAGGGACACAAACAAGATGCATGGGATCTTTTTGCCAGTATCAAAAAGGTCCCATAGATATCACTGCTCATCCCGGGCGTATCCATGCTTACATACTTGCATTGCTTATATAATGATCCCCTTTTGTTGTTCTCTGGTCTAGCCCTGGTGAGACAAGGCCATGAATAAAACTGTGTGGTGTAGGCCTATCAGTTTCAAATACAATACATACATTAATTATCAGAGCACATTTGCATGTTTTTATGTAAGCACGTGTGGCTAATGCAGTAAACTTGATGCCTTGCAATAGGTATCTATTTGGTGTTTGAACATCGTAACACCTGTTATACCGCTAGAAATGGCTAAAGCCTATTTTTTTTTAAAGTTCGTATCGGAGGTGGCTGTTGGCTTGCGAGAGTGGGTGGTTGAGGACTACAAGGGGGGATCAGATGAGGTCCAAGATGGGCAAACCCTCGCACTTGGTGGTTTCACAATCACTCAGGCGGCATGAGGAAGGAAATGCCTTCTCATGCGAATGTGCTGCACAATATCTTGGATTTCCCAAATGCTTATACAAAGGGTTCTTCAGAGTTGCTTTAGCTCAGCAGCCATACAAACTGTTCATTTTATTTTTATACATTACAGACGTTTCCTCCAAAGTGTAAAAATAATTATAAATATATGTCCAGGTCCTTTTTAAAATGAACTATTAGTTAAAGGGCTTCCCAGACGACATTTCAGTCGTGGGGCTTGTCTGGCCATACTTCGCCACACTGGTCAATGTTAAAGATGTTATCCGTGGTTGGGAATCGAGCTCAGGTGGCGCAGGTGAGTGAACAAAGTGTAGCGTCGTAGAACGACACTACATTTTGTTCGTAGAACGACACTACTGTATATAGGTGCCGTAGGCGGGTGTCACCGAGGTCGTAACAAGCCGTGGCATTCTGCGTGAACCCAACAGGACACGTGACCGGATAAAGGGGGGTCAGGGGCCCCAGGGGGGTCACATGGTTGGAGGCTCGGGCCTTCCCGAAGGATCGGGAAGGGGGGCGTGGCCTGGGGCAGAGCCGGCCACGCCGGAGTGGTTACAAGTGGAGTCTGGACAGAGCTGGGCTGTTCTGTGCTCTTCTGCTGCTGGGTCGTCTCTGGGATGAAGCTCTCTGGTCTCCGCTAGTGGACCAGGCAGCGTGTCGGGCTGTCCTGGTCCAGTAATGTAGTATCCCCGTGGGTTAGTTAAGTTAGGAACGGTGGCTACCACCTTAAATCGTTATGTTAAGTGTTAATTGTTATGTTACCTAATAAATAGTGTTGCCTCCAAAGTTGCACTGTGCGCCTGAATTTAACCCACTAAAAATCATTGCCACACATCAATGTGGCAAAATTCCCAGTGACCGTTCTTGCAGCATAATTAACAATACCTGTATGATCATTTAAGATCAAGTCAAAGCGAGCGATTTCCTTCTCAAATGAGCATTGAGGTGGTGCCCATCTGCTGTTTGCTGTCTTAAATCAGATATTAAAGTACGGAACATTGTGCTGCGTTATGATCTTCACACAACGCTCTTCTATCTCTGTTTTCTCAGTCGGCTCTACTCACGGTGAAGTAACGCTTCCAACATTTCGACCAGAAACTTACACCGCACGTTCACGGTTTCCTTATCGTCACACAACGCAACGTGGACTTAGAGCAGTGGATCCTAACCTGGGGTGCACGCACTCCCTGGGGTTATGAGATGCCCTTTCTGGAGGTGTGAGACATGGCCAGATTTTTTTTTTAGAAGGCAAATAATCGAAAACACAAATTAAGCACGGGCACTTGAGTAGAACTACGTACTTTGTTTTATGTATTAACGATATACATTTGTGTGATTGAGAACCAACGTGGGTGGAAGCTGCAGTACTGACTTAGTACTCTGTGCAACAAACCGCTCTGCAGGGGCTGAGCGGATGGGACGCAATCAACAAGCTTCAGGGGATAGGGGAAGTTTGGAGAGATATGAAAACACAGATTAGCAGCTGCCACTATTAGTGCAACAAAACAAAATGCTTGTGGTTTTTTTCGTCCTAACCCAACAGCATAAAGACACAAAGCACGTTCCATTAAAAACACACACACACACACGTGCCCTTTCAGCTTTTGTAATTAATTACACTGATTACAAAAATGATGCACTAATAGCCAAGGATTGTGGGGTATGTGTGACCGAAACTACATGGGAAAGATCAACGATTTTACGATAATTTTTGTTTTGCTTGTTACGTAGGAAAGCCGATTGCGATTGCGTTTCCTAATTAAGTACTTTGTGGGTAATTTTGGAAATTTGGAACAATTTGGACCATGATGCTGGCAGATGATGGCCTATTGGAATGACGTAAGGGGATCTTTTATCATCTATGTGCTGTGAAGCAGCCGACTCATGTTACGTTTAACACGTAGGAGGTTTTCGCGACCAATATTATTCATAATAAAGGTTTTTGGATTAAATCGCGTAAGTATAAATGTGTCGTAACCCTCCACCACCCGACACAGACAGTGGGGTTTGTCACGTAAACAACGCACCAATTACTGGCTGTGTCGGGTGGTGGAGGGTTACGACACATTTATATTTCCGCGATCTAACCCAAAAACCTTTATTATGAACCATACGTTACGGTTAATAAAACCCCGCAGTATTAACCGGGGCGACCTACAGGAATACACCGCAAAACTCTGGAGCAAGTTGCAAACGCACTACCGCTGGGCCACGTTAAACCAGCTGCTGACAAAGAGGGAATGAGGATTTCATTCGTATGAGAAAAAAAAAATCTGCTCACACAATAGCGCCATGACTACAAGAGCGCCATGAGTACAAGAGCAATGTCTGGCTCCACGTGACAAATTATGATCCACGATCTCGTTAAGCTTTTATTTTTACAGGCTCACATTATTAGACTCCGGCATTAATAATACAGTATCTCTCTTCTGCTTAACGGCGCTGAACTCAACGCATTCTTGTGAGTGCATTAGGGTCCGCCGTTCTTGACTCTGAGCAATAGGCTGTGTCAACACGCCTCGTGGTGCACGATTCAAATTCGTGGAAAATGCACCGCGCGTGCAACGTCGACACGTGTTCTGAAGGGACGGGCAAAGGCGCAGTCCTGCAATTGCTTGCACACGCCAAGCGGACAGGAGGGCCTCTCCGCTAGAGGTACCTCTAAAGCCCATGGTTCTTCACCTTTACTGCAGCCTTTGCGCGCCCTTGGTTCTCAATCGTAAACAATATATCATGTTAATAAATACCAAGGGTCTGATGAATCAAAGTAGTTGTACTTATATACGTGCCCGTGCTTAATTTGTGTTTTGATGGTTTACCTTCGAAAAAAGATCTGGCAATGTCTCGCACCCCCAGAAAGGGCATCTCGCAACCCCAGAGGGTGCAGTGTGCACCCCCAGGTTGAGAAGCACTGCTCCAGAGGGCCCCTTCTGGAGGATATTTGGTCTACCCTTCCACGCCGGATAGACACCTTGGAAAGAAGTGGAGTAGTACTCACACCGTGGTGTTACCTAATTATTCTACTGCTGGGTGGACACGTACACACGACATGCAGGAAACTCGCCCATTGCCGTAATATTATTATTTATATTGTATTTTTATTATTACTTATTTTATTATTACTATTTTTATTATTATTTTATTATTATTTTGCGAGACTGCTTTGACAGTGGCCCACAAGGATAATGAACTTGCACATTTGGCAATAACTTTGTTCCCGAGGTGAAGAAAAAGGTACACGTAGCCGACTTTTCGGTAAATGGCTGTTCCTTATCGGTTTTCCTTGGTTTCTTTGCTATTGATATCAGTTAGACTATAATCCGAATCTTATTTTTTCCACAGTTGTCCAGTAGGGCGCGGCTCAGCAAGTTACCTTTGCCCCGAAGAAAGGGTCATTGAACGGAGCAAAACGTCGCCTATTCTCTGCGTGTTATCGTTGGCAGCGTCATGGGAGGAATGATTTTTTTTCTCTCGTGTATGAGGTTGAAGCGATCTTCTGCAGATTTCACTTCAGTTCACGTTCTCTCTCCCCTCCCGCTGTCGTTGGTCTCTGCCCTTTGATGTCGTGAATCGCGGCAGCTCGAGAGGCGCAGTCGCGTGGCCGAAATTGACGGTAAATTTTGCAATGATTTCACAGAAATGGAACAAGATAGAAAGAAAAAAAAACTCCAACATAATATTAAAAAAAACACACACAATGGCTTAGGAGCCAATGCAGGCAGGAAGCGACGCGGTAGGCACGGCCACTTTAGAAACTTCCTTCTTTTGGAGGGGGGTGGGGGGGGTGTGTGATCCGTTAGAGCTCGATTATGTTGTGGTCGAGCTGCCTCATGCGACAAAGGCACCGGCGAGACGTGCAAGAGTATTGCTTAAAGCGGGGTGGGTAAGAAAAATAAAATCGTGGACAAATCGGAGAGCCCACATGGAGATCATTAAGCAAGGATATTTGGTGAAAAGGGTAAGAGAGTGCTTGTATATGCGTGGTGTTGGCTTGTTGACGTCGTGTTTTACTTGTGATGGATGAACATTGCCTTTGTCATGTGACGCAGAGCTTCGTTCGTTCGCGCACTGCGATTATGAAGCTCGTTTTGCCGTTGAACGGGAGAGCACAACGGTTTATATGGAGTGCCTCTTTTCCAAGAGCATTCCATAATCCAGTTGCATTCGTTCAAGAAGCCTGACTCTGCTGATGAGACTCAAACCGTCGGAACCGGTCGAGGGGTTTGCTTGACACTATCTGTCTGAAAATCCAATAAGCAGAAACGTGTAGTTATATTTGGGAGCACGTAACAGAGTTTTGCGTATGCGGCCACGGCTAACGCCAGTGGTAAATATCCTTCCCAAGTCCGCTCCAAGTAGCGAGTGGTGAAGTATCACCAAAGAATCATCCACGATCGGTCAAATGTGGTGAGGCCTTCATCCGGCACTTGACTGACAAAGAGCTGAAAATTATAATGATTTTACCCGTTGTTAATATTTTATGATTAGCGTACTGTCTGTGTCACTGATGCTTAGCTGAGTGGTTAATGCTTCTTCTGTCAGGAGGCCATTTGATGGATCAAATTGATTATTTTCTAGAGCGACATTCATGCTAATTGCGAACATCGCAAGCCGCATTTACATCTAAAATCGTACGAGACACTACAGAGACAAAGCACAAGACACGATATAAGGTACGAAAGTGAACACAACACGAACCGGATAAATAAACACTAAATTAAGCTCCTGACATCGGCGAAAGTCTGGAGAATAGCGAGGCATTATTGGAAACATCACAATTAAATCCAATGGATGGTGTGATACACATGTTCACGGTGCTTATCATAGAGCCACGGGGGAACAATGAAAACATTCCCGTGTCAAGCAGACGAGGCCGAGTTGCCCAAAGTCAACCATTGCAGAGTGTAAATTGAATAGGCACTCGTATTTCGGTGTTATGTTTGGCTTCATACGTTTACATGGTGGTCATGGATTATCATTGGCACTCGCTTATCCACTGCTGGATTAAGAATTCATCGACGTGGAGCTGCCAGCCCCATGCGACAGCAGTGCCACAACCAATATCGCTCTTTCACAGGAGCTGATCAAATCGCACTCCATCTCCACAATGGTTGTCGTCTCAGGCGTGCTATTCTTCATATGGTCGTCATGTTGATACGAGCGTTTTGTAATGATGTGTGTAAATATATACGTATACATGCAACTCTTTTACATCTATATTTAAATGTATATAACAGGAGACGTTCCAGGCGATGGCCCTGCTTCATAGCACCAAATTACGATCGGCAATAATCTGGTGCTTTGAAGAACCTTCGCCCGAAACGTCGCCCATTATCGATTGTTTTTACTTTCAAAGCCACGGTGTTATTGACAAGTGTGTTGAGTTTGTTATTTGTGCAACAGCAAGCATCACCAAATAATTTGTTACATCTGAATCTGTTGATGAAAAATGTGTCATAACAATCAAATGCATTTTGAAACAGGTGCATCATTCGTGCAAATTGCAAATGTGCAGGGAGGCGTACAATAAAATAAAACACATTTACCGTTCACCGTATTCAACTTGCCAGGAGCCCTGCCTACCAGAAACTCGCCTTACGCGGTAGTAGTAGTAGTAATAGATCCGTTAAAAAAGGGGCGCACAAAGCGAAAGTGCTCGAGGAGACAGCTGCCTGCCGAGTAGCGCAAACAGTATACACAATGCACACCCAATGTTGTTCCACGTCCGACTGCATAGCTGCAATGGAGTGAAATTCAACCCGCATGCTGTATAACGAATTTTGGGTAATAATAAGTTAGCCCAGAGGTTGGCGACCTGTTGCTCCGAATTCGCATGCGACTCTTTAAGGACCGCTTCGTGACGTTAATTTATTCAGTAGTCGCCGTCTCGTATTCACATTGCATTGTGGTTCTTGAAATATTGAAGAGGTTTTTTTTATCCGAATTAAAAAAAAATACGATATTATTTTTATTGCCAGGTCTGGGTGAGCCGCATTCATAGGAAATCGCACAAACAGAACCCGCACAAAGCGAGGGAAACTTGTCGAACCAGTCTGTCTGTTCCAAAATGTGCACCACCTATCGGAAACAAAATCATCTTTCGCGGTTAGGCCTCGTGTGTTAGCATGCACCGTGAATCGCGGGCGACACACTCGCACGATTGATAATTAATCAGTGTTTGTGATGGCTTTTATTGCTTCCATTGAGGTCTCACAAGAAAGGAAATTGATTTCCTCCCTCCATGGGCACAGGCGATATATCGCAAATATCATCATCGGCCGGAGCTCCTGAAGGGCGGGTGGGAAACAACTGCAGCAATCATTTTTTTTTTGCTGGAGAATCTCATTTTAAATTAACGGCAGGGGCAAAGCCCCCGGATCTCCAGAAGTGATATCACACACGGCGGCGGCGGCTGCTGCAGCTGTGATTGCTGTGCGGGCTAACCTTTTCTGGAGAGGAATCTGGCAATGGTCCATATCCAAACAGAGTTTGCAGTTTCATGTCCGTTGATGAAAATAAACGCGGCAACGCTACAAGAGGTTACTTGAGAGTCAAGACTTTTACAATTTGGCGTGGGTCGTGCGTGCGCGTGCGTGCGTGTGCGCGCACATCTGTGGGAGCACATTAGTGGTTCGACTCATCCGAAAATGAGTACAATACCTGCATGGTGCGATGTGTAAACATCAGCACTGGGTGGAAACAAAGGCGGCCGGGCGCGGTTCTGGTCACACCGTCATGCGCCGTGCCAGCCTTCGAATATTACTTGCACCAGCAGTCTGTGTTAGACGGCTACACGGGGGATCTTTTGTCTTTCCTTTTGCATCACAGCGAGCGCTGTGATTGTGTCTGTGGATAAGTCATTTCATTTAACAAATCGGTGGTGCAACGGTCAGCGCGCTGCGCTACGAACCCAGCGACCCGAGTTCGATTCCCACTCGCGGCCACCAACACCAGTGACGATTTATCTGAACCTGTTCTGGGCCCTCCCCTAGGTCGACTCAGCCTCAAATGAGGACCTGGTGCAGTGGGAAAACATCGCAACGAGGGAAATAAAGGCGGCCGGACGTGGTGCTGTCCACTCACACCCCTCGTGTGCCGCTAACAGCAATTGCCCCAACAATCTGTTGAGACTATGGGGGGGAGGGTCTTTGTCATTTAACAAGTCACGCCTGGATCTCCTGCCAGCAAGACTCCAACACTGCACATGGTCTCAAAGTGCACTTAGCCTGGTACAAGTAATGTGGTGATTTCATCGCCACTTAATGGTAGACAGGGGGAGAGGATATTGTTCTTGTCTGTTGGTGAGCGTACACAATACAATGCAAATATATACAGCATCTAATTGTGACCAACTCAACGATTTGATAACCATAATAAAGGTTTTTGAGGGGGATGTGGTTAGATCGCTTAAATATAAATGTGTCGTTTGTCACGTAAACAGAACGTGCCAATATAGTGACTACTTCAGCAAGTGATGACAACATGACGACAACTACGACTGCTGCCCAACACCACCGTCACGATCATCATCGCTCGATCATCATCATCATCATCACCATCAAGCCATGACAATCGTTGCTCACCAGAGGCCAAAGCGTGCGACTGGGACGACGTTTCACTCGATCTGAATGAAGACGCAGACTCAGAAAAAGGAGGGTGGCCTCGTTCGAGACTACGACGCACTGAGGAGGACCGAACGTCGTCAGTGGCCCAAACCTCAGCCTCCAGACAGACTAACCCGATAAATAACAAGGGAAGGGGAAATTGCACATCCCTCACGCCGACATTGAACGTCCAAAGAGAGTGCCCGACTTAAACGCGGCCGCTTTAATCGACGGCACTCGCAGAATCACGCAAGGAAATCCACAGACTAAGCAAGCCTTGGATGAATGTCCGCGGGCTGTGCATTAGCGAGGCTAAGACGCAAATAATAATTTAAAAAAGTGCTGGCCACTCGAAACACCGCTCGGCACTCGGTCCGCACGCACGCATTTCACAGCCCGCTGTGTCGATCTACATGCAAGGACGTCAGCGATATTCGACCGTGCTTCAACCACGCTGGTCAGTTCGCGGTTGGTGAAGGTGCCGCGGGGTGCAGATGAAGAGTGGAGTTTGCCGTAATGCCCTCTCCTGTCCCACAACGACCACACCTGTATCTATCCGCACATGGTGCTCAACCCGTGACAGCGCTATCCAGGCACGAGCCCCGCCTAGCCACCGAGATGGGGGCGCGCGTGCATTCCGGGGCTGCTCGGTCATTGCTGTGCGAATCCGCAGGGCCACGTTGTGCACAACTGGAAGGCGCGCTGGTTCATGTTGGATGGAGAGAGCTTGACCTACTACACCTGCAAGGGCGAGGTTTCCTCCAAGGGCTCCATCCCTCTGAAGGACTGCCAGGTGGTCAGCCCGTGCCTGGACTACAGCAAGCGCCCTGTGAGTCGTCCGTTCCTACTGTCTGCAGCGGCAATGTGGGGGCGGGAGGGAGGGGGCGTTGAACGGTGCTCGTCACTCCGCGTTGGAGAACGGCCCGCGGAAGAATATGTCACAGAACTATTTCTAACCTTTGAGGTGTCCTCTTTTATGCACGCACTGGAAGACGCTGCGCTCTCGCCCACACGCCTTGCTACGTCGCATGTCAGTCACGCCAAACATTTTGTGACATTCTCAGAACTGGACGTTTGGCAAATTTAGTGACGGAACAAATGTAATACTTTTTTTGTGTGCAGCCCTTTGTTGCTCAGCCGAGAGCATCAACTCATTACACTTGAGACTCTGGTTTGGTCACAGGTGGCTGAAACCCAGATTCGAACCCAGGGCCTGGGGAGTGCCAGGTCATTGCTCTGACCCCCTAAGCCACCCCCTGGGTTACCTCAATCAGCTGACATGTTTTGGGGGAGGTCATTCTTCGTGGGTCCATTACTCACGAGAACCACGTTCGCAAGTACCGCACTCAAGAATGCCGTTGCGTTCTATCTTAATTTGCTGTTAGCTGTAGTCATCAATGTTCTTCTTATTAACATTGCAAAATTAACCATATTTCAGCAAACTGTAATTTCCAATAAATTGAAGTTGCATTTTATTCCACGATAATTTGCAGTACAGTAAAGCATTGAAAACTGATTATATTAGCGCGTATAATGAGATTTCATACATTATGTACACTAATATATTGACAAACAATTACAAGAAATAGCTGTGTAATTGTACTGCATTATATTCGAACCATAAATTATTATGATATTCTTAACCCAATAACAAAACAGCACATTCAGATATTTTCATGAATTATTCATGGGATAGCATTCATCTAAAACAATATAATTGGCTGATAAATAATACTGTGGAAATTAAACATTAGCATTCAAAGCATTACAGGATATGATTGAATACCGGCAATAATGCTACTTATTGTCACTGAGATCCAGTATCAGTGGAGCACGCACTGAACACAATGAATACGATTAAATCAAACGTTTCAACTGAACCAAATTTCCCATTCTAATGCGTTTACCGCGGGTTTTTTGAGCGGAATTTGTGCAGGCAGTTATGAAGGAGGACATTGCCGCTGCTCATTCCCATTGCTCCGATTAACAGGCGCAGATGGCAACTACCGTTCTGTGAAAATGAATCGTGATGTTTGTACTGCAATTAGTTTCTTTGGGAATAACCAATTGCACTCGTTGCGTATGCAAAACTTACTCAAAAGAGGTGAGCGCTGTGGACAATCAATCGTTCCCAACCGTGCACTGTTGGTCCTTGAAACATATTTCAAGGACTACCATGCAGTGAATGTAAGCACCACGGACCACTTCCCACGGTCTTACGGAGACCGCTGTAGATCATCTCACCGAAATGTTCAGTTAAATTAAGAGTTATTGTTAAATATTGCTCATTCTTGCGTCATGTTGTCATCATTTGATTTAAGGTTTCGTACAACATTGTCATTGGCCTTTTGCTTTGTGTTACCCACAATTCCGTTGAAAAAGGGAACAACAGTCTCCTGTGCTTGCTATTAACCTGCATCCAGCAAAAATGTCATCGAAAAACACCACTGAGGAATTGCAAGTGGGAAAAAAAACCATCTTAACCGTCCTTCCCTAGTCGTGACCAAAGACCCCCAAGCATGGACTAAACTCTTAGTCTGTGCTCTCTCTCGTTCTCTTTTGAGAGCAGTGCACATGGGCAGGTCCATGGCCCAAGCTCCCTCCATTCCCATCCAACCCCACTCCCTCTATTCGCCATGCAACACCACACTCAGTGCCAGGGTTCCCGAGTCATAACCATGGAAGAAGAGTTGAGAAGGTTGAGCTGTCATCCGGCTTCAAAGAGATTGTATCTATCGTCATCTACAGTAAATAATGCTGAATAAACTCCGTAGCATGTGGATTCTTCTCCATGCGTATGGTTCTGCATAATAACCCATAACTTCATGTCCAGCTCTGATAGCTAACACAGCCTCGGGAGAACCTCAGTGGACGTCGTCAATGCCGTAGTGAACAGATTCACAATGCGGTTCACTACGGTCTGGCCAGAATTTCCACAGTCGCATGCCGCTGGGATTTCTCTGATTTTCTCCACTCGGCGCGAGTGCTATGGTTTAGTCGGCTCAGCGTGCGTGATCGTTTTTTTGAGGCAGGTCTAATCTGGGGTGGGGAGTTCGGGCGGGAGGAGGGGGGGGAGGTGTGGTTCCTAACCGTGTCGTGCGTACTCCAAGACGGTCTTCAAGGTGGTCAACAAGAAGCAGGAGCTGGTGATGCAGGCCTCGTCGCTCGAGGAGCGGGACGCCTGGGTGCTGGACCTGCGCTCCGCTGCCCGTTGCCTCCAGGAAGGGCGACCCTTCACGCGCTCCTCGCTGCGCCAGTCCATCCGCCTGGAGCACTCCCTCAACCTCCGGTAGCGTTCCTCTCCGGCGGACAACGGCTGCCCTGGCACCCCTTTTCCACTGGCGCGTGCGAGCCGAGCCAGCACAGATGGCCCTCGTGGAGAGAGGCGTTTTTTTTTTTTTTCCCAGTGGCTTTTTGCTGTCGAGCCGAGCTGTATACAAACCGTAACTACGCTGGGTTTTCGCGAGACATCTGAATTCGTACTCGGGGGGGGGGGGGGGGGGGGCGGGCGGGGGGGGGGGGGCAGTGTCAAAGCAGGTCCAGGGATGAATATTAAATAACTAGCTTGTTTGGCCGTCCTATGATGGAAGCTGTAATATTTACAATGTTTTTAGCAGAGTATAATTGTATCTTGTGTAAATTTAATGGCAGTGATTCTTGCACAAAACTATGTCATAAAACACCCCACTTCATGTCACTGTAGCACTGTATATAACTGACCTTCAATTTGTTCAAATTCACTGCTCTGATACTTTATTCTCTTCTGCTTTCGGTCGCTGGGGTTGAAATAAATTGGAATTCGATACAATATCTGAAAAATCACCGAAAAATGTCTATTTCACCATAATGTAGAATCATAATTTAGACTTACCTTTATATTTCAAGTGCCGAAGAAATAAATAAATAAATACCGACTCCCGATCCACTTTGTTGCTGCGTATAATTATTTATTACATTCATTTTCAATAAAAAAAAAAGCATGAAACTTAAAGCGAATATGCGAGTGTAAAAATCCACCCGCTCATGCATCAGCCACGGGTCCAGTTCTGACATCACTTTTCCATCGATGGTAGTAGCCCTTGCGCTTGAATCGAACTTGGGTCACCCGGTTGAGTGCGGCCACGCGCAAACCACGGTGCCGCCGCTCCACCCCAAGTGGATGTAAATCATGTTCAGATTCTGCACCAGAGGCGTTATGATGCCACCGCGTGCTCGCGGGTCACTTTAACGCCCTACTTTGTCAACAGCAAGTTCACGCATTGCCGTTCAACAAGAACACTGAATTCTCCTTTTGACAAATTGTACATTCCCTTGCTTGCGTAGAGAGATTTTGGCGAAAATGAAAGACCCCGAGAGTGGAATCAAGTCGGAGAGTTTTAACAGCAGCAACAAGCTCTACAAGGACTGCTTCACAGGTACATCCTCCGTGAGCGTGGACATCGACAGAGTGAGTCCCTTTTGACAATCCACTGCTGAACGAGAGTCTCGCTACGACCATGCGTCCCATGGGGCTTTATGACCATACATTACCATGCTGGTCAGCAGGGGATGCGGGGCCCGCGGGAAATCACACCGTGTGATGACGGTTGCTTGTGTTGCGATCGAAACGTCGTGATTCATTAATCTTCTATCTCCGTGACTTTACCGAAATAACCAAAGAGTAGACCTTCTCTATACTCTGCACTCCTATCGTTCTGTTTGTATTGTTTGTTGCAACTTTCTGATCCCGTGCCCCTTACTGGACACCTGTAACGAAACGAAAGAGCTTCGTAGCTAATCGGACTCCTCCCCCCCCCCCCCCCAGTCTAAATAAACATTCTAATCCTGATTCTGCAGCCCTTTGTCAATCGACCGCTAGATAAAGGCCTCTCATCACCCGTGAGGATTCATTAAAAAGCCACCTGGGGACAAATACAGACATCGCTCACCACTTTGGGTTTCCACCTGTCATAGTTTTCCCAGGATCGTCCACTATTTTTTTGTCAGGCAGCTGTCCTGGGAAATCTGAAGTATTCCCCGGGATTAAAAGTGCATTTTTTGCCAGCTGCTTAGTAATACTGTTGTACAGCGCTCAAGGAAATTAATTTGCATGTGGTCTTCGCCTCTTCTGGTGTCGTGAGAGATTTCTTCTTGCCATGAGACGTCCCAGTATTTGTGCCTCAGGGGGGTGTGGCAGCCCTATTCATCCGCTGATGTTGGCTGTGGCCAGAAGTTAAGCCCAGGTGACTTGGTTCGCAGCTAAATGCATCGGCCACTGTGCTACCACTCCGCCCTCTCTTGATTTACTGAACTAATTTGCTGCATTAACACATTTCTTCATTTAATATTAATGTGGGACTGTTTATATTAACGAATAAGTGGAAATGTTCACGCACTGTACATTTCAGATCTCTTTTTTTGTTTAACATATTGACTTCGAATTTTGTTTATTTTTTTTACGTGTGCCAATTTTAAAGAGTTAACTGTAACCTTTTTTCAGGATTGTTTGTTGAGGTGTGAGGTTGGGAGAGCCTTAACTGCCCAGGCCGCTCCTTGCTCATCACGTAGCCCACAGTTCCGCTGCGCATATCAAGTGGCTTTGTCCACACACCAATAAGCCTCTTTTCATCTAAGAGTCACGATCTCACGATCTGTTTATGCGTCTATATCAGATCACATTCTCCCCCCCCCCCCCCCCCCAAAGCTCGTGTTCGGTGGCACGTGCTTGTTTTTTAGAAAGCGGCGATATTGGAGCTTGCCTGCTCATTTTAACTCCCCACCCGTCACGCCCGGCTGCAATGTTCAAAAAGGCACAGTTTGAATAAAAAAATCCCCGAACTCTGGAACCCTAACTTATTGTTCTTATGCGAATACGGCAAATACTGCACGGATTTAAAGAAGCGCATTGCAATATTCGCACGTACGTTATCTCCAGGTTGGGTTTTTTTTTTACATTTTGGCATCTTGCTTTTGCCTGCGAGCACACACGTGTACCCTTCACTCTCTTGACGTGCGCCAGAGTTAACGGCACTAGTCCCTCGGTGCCGAGGGAACACCTGGTTCACGCGCAGCGGTCCTGCGATCAGTGTGCGCTTTGAGAAGGGTGGCATTTGAAGGGACGTGCGAATGCCCTTCCTCCGCTGCGCACAGGAGCTTCGTGGTGGCGCCGGCGACTAAATGACTGCCTACTTCTTACTGCGCTGCGAAAACACAGCAGACGACTTCGCCATTCGGACCGAAGCGCCGATGGTGTCACCGTAGCGCTTGCGCGTAAACCGTGCGCCCGGATGAGGGCAGGCGAAGTGCAGAGGGCTCGCTGGCAGGAGGTCACGAGACACACCCAGGTGTTATGGGGTCCGTTGAGATGACTGGCAGGTGCACTGCCTTGTGCTACCCGCTGAGAAAACTTGCCGTGGTTTGGGCCATTCGGTGCCACGTTCGTTGTTACGAGGGTTGCTTTTCCGCCCTCCCAACGACAGGGCGTACACACACACACCACACACACCGATGAGATTCCTGATGACTGCCAGTGCAGTGTTCTTCAATATGAATCAACGACGAATAGGCGGCAATGTTTCTTAAAACGCGTGAGCTGCAGTGAGCACAAGGACTGAAATGACCTTGTCGCGAAAAAGTAATGGAGCACCACATTTTTCCACACTGAGATCGATTCTAGCTCAACGTGCTCTGGGCCCTGCCAAACACTAATATACAGAAAACAGACCACATGCCTGCTCTGTCAATTCAACATTAATGAGGTGACTTTACCGAAAGAACCAAGAATATTAATGAGGTGATTCGTGTAATTTTTAACCTCACAGGCATGAAAAAGGTTTGTGTGCGCATTTGTGCGTGCATTTAGTTTTTGTGGAGCGGTGGAGTAGCGGTTAGCGCTACGCTGCGCTATGAACCCGGCGACCCGAGTTCGATTCCCGCTCACGGCCACCAACGCCAGTGACGATTAACTGAACCGGTCCTGGGCCTCCCCTAGATCGACTCGGCCTCCAATGAGTACCTGGTGCTTTGTGTAAAAACATCGAAGCTGGGGAGACAAAGGTGGCCGGACGTGGCACTCCACACCCTGGCCTCCATCACGCCTCGCAGCCCTTTGCAGGTGGCTCGCTAGCGGCACACACTGAACTATTTGCTAAAAGTTGTTTTTATTTTACCAGTGAAGGCCCACCGAGCTCCAAGCGACCCGGCCACAAATGATAGCTCAACGAGGGCGTGGGCTTATCGCGTGGACATTCATCGCAGCAGCCAAATACTCTAAACGCGTAACGTTGATTCGAAATGTGGAAGGGAAAAAAAAAACCCGGAGGAGCCGGGATTGAATTCCACGCGACCACGGGAGTAGAGAAACACCGCAAACTCCAAATATCCAGCAGCAGGCGTCGGGGGTCGAGCGCACGACCTCCCGCGTGCCAGGCGAGGGAGTTAACATCTCCTGGCCACCGTGATGACGATGATGATGATGAGAGACACGCAAACTCCAAATATACAGCAGCAGGCGTCGGGGGTCGGGATCGAGCGCACGACCTCCCGCGTGCCAGGCGAGGGAGTTAACATCTCCCAGCCGGCGTCCCTGCGCGCGAGCGATCGACCGTCCGTAACTTTGCGCGCCCGCGTGCAGGCGCGTGCGTGGTCAACTGGCTGGTGTCTTCGGAGGTCGTGCGGACCCGCGCCGAGGGCCTCCTCGCGTGCCTCGCGCTGCTGGACGACGGCTACGTCCGCCCGACGGGCGATCATGCCAAATCCGCCGCACACTCGAACTCACAGTTCCTCGACGACACGGAGGCCCTCTACTGTTTCGTGAGTTTGTTCTTTTTGACGTTTCACCCGATGAGCTCGCGCCGCCGGGCGGTCGAGAATCGGCCGAGACGGGGGGGGGGGGGAAGCGTCGGATTCGTGAGATTTTTTTTTCTTTTGAGTTTCTTTTGACTTTTTTTATTCTATACGTACTGGAGGGAATCCGATGAGCTACAAAGCTCTTTTTTCCCACAGATGTCCTAAGCGTGGCGGGGGGTGGTGGGTCGGAAAGTTACAGCAGCAATGCAAAACACCGCTGGGAGTGCGACAATTAGGAAAAATAAGTCACACCAAAAATCAAGTATGTAAGGACAAATTGCAAAAGTGTATAGATCGTGAAATACTTCTGACGATTAGGGAAGCGAGATGTATGTCCAGGAGATCGCTCACCCCACGCCATTCCTGTTCCACCACCCACCGGCACATCCAAGCCGTGTCAATTGGGGGGGTGGCAGGGGGCACCCGCGTCACGGGCGGTTTTTTTGTATTCGTGGAGACGATGATATTTTTACTTTGCTGTTTTATATTTATAGAGCGACTTCAGTCAAGGGACTGTGACAGAGTTTCACAGCAAACGGTGACAGAAGGGAATGGTTTAGATGACCAGAGGGCGCCAGAATTGAGGAATGAGTGACCCGCAGATAGAGGGCTACTTAGGGAGATCACGAAAGGGGTAGGGGAGGGACGGGAAGGAGTGGAGGGGCGAGGGGAGGGAAGAGGAAGGGAATGGGCGATGATAGAGAAGAGGTGGTGAGGCTTTAAGCGAAGAATGAAAGGAGGTTAATGAGGGAGACTGCTTAATGTACAGTGGCAATGTTGAGTCTATGCGCAGTATTGAGTCTATGGTGTAGCGTTGAGTCTATGGTACAGTGTTGAGTCTATAGGCAGTGTTGAGTCTATGGTGCAGTGTGGAGTCTATGGTATAGTGTTGCATCTATGGTGCAGTGTTGAATCTATGGTGCAGTGTTGAGTCTATGGTATAGTGTTGAGTCTAAGGTACAGTGTTGAGTCTATAGGCAGTGTTGAGTCTATGAGCAGTGTTGAGTCTATCGTCCAGTGTTGAGGCTATGGGCTGTGTTGAGTCTATGGTGCTGTGTTGAGTCTATGGTGTAGTATTGAATCTATGGTGCAGTGTTGAGTCTATGGTGTAGTGTTGAGTCTATGAGCAGTGTTGAGTCTATCGTGCAGTGTTGAGGCTATGGGCAGTGTTGAGTCTATGGGCAGGGTTGAGTCTATGGTGCAGTGTTGAGTCTATGGGCAGTGTTGAGTCGATGGTGCAGTGTTGAGTCGATGGTGCAGTGTTGAGTCGATGGTGCAGTGTTGAGTCTATGGTGCAGTGTTGAGTCTATGGTGCAGTGCTGAGTCTATGGTGCAGTGTTGAGTCTATGGGCAGTGTTGAGTCGATGGTGCAGTGTTGAGGCTATGGGCAGTGTTGAGTTTATGGGAAGTGTTGAGTCTATGGTGCAGTGTTGAGTCTATGGGCAGTGTTGAGTCGATGGTGTAGTGTTAAGTCTATGGGCAGTGTTGAGTCGATGGTGCAGTGTTGAGTCTATGGGCAGTGTTGAGTCTATGGTGCAGTGTTGAGGCTATGGGCAGTGTTGAGTCTATCGGCAGTGTTGAGTCTATGGTGCAGTGTTGAGTCTATGGGCAGTGTTGAGTCAAGGGGCAGTGTTGAGTCTATGGGCAGTGTTGAGTCAAGGGGCAGTGTTGAGTCAATGGGCAGCGATGAGTCTATTGGTAGCAGTGCTGCTTAATGTACAGGGGAAGTTGATTCCCATGGAGGAGGGGTGCAAGGAGGGAGAAGGACCAAGAACGGGATTGGGCACAGGGAGAAGTAGGGTAGAGAGAGAGGCAGAGAGAAGATTGGGAAAGACGTGGACGGAAGGGGACATGGGAGATGAGAGACGCAAGATAAAGTGGGGCAAGGCCATGGAGAGATTTGTAAACAGGATGGAGGCTTCCGTTACGGTCTGACTTGGCAGCTTCTTACGCTCTGCAAACCATCAGCACTCAATGACGTTACAGACGCATCGCTCTGTATTACATAAGTTACATATTATGCAGATACATATTGTACCAAGGTGCGTGGGTAGAATTCGCCCCAGATGACCTTGGGAATGTGGCATCTCGTGAGCAGTTTAAACTTGGTTTACCTTTGGATGGAAGAAAATGAGAAACTTAATCAAAATAAAGTAATTGGCCTGACTGCCAATGGTGAATTGTCCTCTCAGTGCCATCTGACGAGCGATGAGCACTGAGGGTCATTACTCAATTATTGTACTTTCATTTTGCAGAGATGCATGTTTTTACTTTATGGTAAAATAAGTATTGAAGAAAACATGAATGCAGGAATGTATCTGCAATACACAGTCACAAACTATTTTAACAGTTTATATAATGATTTTCAGCCCTTTTTCAATCCACTGCTGGATGAAGACCTTTCCATATCATGCCAGTCATTGTGGTTATTTCACCATACTTCACTGTACTGTTCGATGTGGACAGGTGTGAAGCGTATAAGTACAGCATGACGATATATCTTCTTTGGTTCTTTCGGTAAAGTCACGTAGAATGAGAATAAAATAATAAATTGATAAAATAAAATAACACAATAAAATTCTCACGACGTTTCGGCCACAACACAAGCGGCCTTCATCAGGTGAAGGGACGAGATTGTCTGGAGGACAGCGCTGGAGCAAACACAGCCAAGCTCAGACCGCGACCTTTAAGCTGTGTGAGAAGAAACAGAGCGCCTTGACAAAGGAATTAGCATAGAATTTAGCATTGAAATAGCTGAGTGATTAGCTGGTGACTGGTCACAGAAATGGCTATGTTAAATTCAAAGCATACACATCCACAGAGGCACCAAGTACAAATCAAACAGGAGAATTTAGCATTTCAATGCTAAAGTCTCGTCCCTTCACCTGATGAAGGCCGCTTGTGTTGTGGCCGAAACGTCGTGAGAATTTTATTGTGTTATTTTATAAATTTATAATTTTATTCTCATTCTACGTGACTTTACCGAAAGAACCAAAGAAGATGAATCCTTGCAGTCACGAAAGCTTTAAATCGAAATTTATAACGATATATGTTGCTACACTGCCCTCCGCTACACACCACACAGCCCCACCGGGTGACACGTGTGTATATATATATTTTTTTGCGGTTGTGCCGTACAGCTCTCCGGCTTATTTTCTGGCTGTACCGCACGTTGTTCGCCACGGTATCCGATGTTTCGCTCCACGCGTGCCGGGACCTTCTTCGGTTCCGTGTAGCCCAGCGCCAGACGAAGTAGACGTGGGGGAGAGCCGCGAATGCAACGACGCCCCGCCGAGAGGTCGCGCGCTGACGCCCGAGCTCCCCCCGTGTGCAGATCGACAGCAGGCACGGCGCACAGGACACGGACAGCGACGACGAGTGCTCCATCCTGCGCGAAGAGTTCAGGGGCCGCATCATCAAGCAGGGCTGCCTGCTCAAGCAGGTGACCGCGCGGCCTCGCACGGCTCCCAACAGGCAAGAGCCAGCGCTCGTGATCACCGGGATCTCCAACCCAATTACCAGCCCATCACCGACGGAGATTTCGCGGAACATCTCCCAAGACCTGACAAATGAACCCAGGCGCCCGATCGCACAGGCTACGTGAAGTACATCGGATTAATGAGCAGAACCCGCGGTTGCCTGCCTGCGGTGGTGCTGTTAATGCGACCCCCCTCCCCCACCCCCGCCGTGCACTGATACTGCCGGCAATTTGTCTGCATTAGGACAATTTGTGTTTTCTTCCTGCATTCATAAGCACTGGCCGTGCTGCGGGGTAATTAACGGTGCGAGCAACGCGGTTTAAATACGCGACGCTCGCAAACCATGATATATTTGCAATTGCGTTGACATGATTTGCTTTTACCGCCACTGCTTGCTCTGCGCGCATCGCGGATTTATGACAGCGATTTGAGCCTCCTGGAGGCTGCATGGCACAGTCGCGATTGTGGCTACGATCCAGAATGCGCCGGGACGGACGCCAGAAAGGCATTAATCATCGTGCTAAAGCAGTCCAAAGCGATAGCAGATGCTTATCGTAGAACATAAAAGAACAAAGTTGACAATGGAGGTGAAAAAAATTCAGCATTTTGAAATATGTCATTTCATTATTTTTTTTGCTTAGGGCCACAAGAGGTTGAACTGGAAGATAAGAAAGTTCGTGCTCAGGGAGGAGCCTGCATATCTGCACTATTACGACCCAACAAAGGTGAGAAGGTAGAGACGCAACATTACAATAGCAGCCGATGCCTTCCCAACATGTCTGGGAAAAAGGAACATTACCTACTATAATCACTCTTGATTTGAGGCTTTCGTGACTGCAGGAACCCACACTCTTTGGTTCTTTCTGAAAAGTCACAGAGAAATGTCTGTCCGTCCCGCGCGTGACGTCTCTCCACATGAGGCCCACCCCCCACGCGTGACGTCACTCCACATGAGGCCCCCCCACGCGTGACGTCACTCCACATGAGGCCCCCCCACGCGTGACGTCACTCCACATGAGGCCCCACGCGTGACGTCACTCCACATGAGGCCCACCCTCCCTCATTAATATTCATCGAGTGGGTGACGTCACTGCACATGAGGCTCCCCCCCACGCGTGACGTCACTCCACATGAGGCCCACCCTCCCTCATTAATATTCATCGAGTGGGTGGATTTTTACACTAACGCAGAGGAAGGTCGAGCTGAATAAAACAATTTATTACGAAAAATATGACGCTTCTTTACAGAAAGTGACGGTAAAAAATTAAATCTACACAGCACAATGCGTGACGTCACTGCAAAAGAGGTCCCCCCCCCCCTTCATTAATATTCATGCCCGCGTGGAAATTTCCACTAACGCACAAGAAGGTCGCGCACTCCACATGCCGCACCCCTCCCCTCATTAATAATCATAAGCGGGTGACGTCACTCCACATGCCGCACCCCTCCACAATAACCATGAGGGGGTGACGTCACTCCACATGCTGCACCCCTCCCCAATAACCATTAGCGGGTGACGTCACTCCACATGGGACAACCCCCCCCCCCCTCATTAATAATCATGAGCTGAACAATGTTCTATTGAATATTTCAGATTTACTGCAAAATGCACCCTTAGACGGGCAAAAAAGCGAGTTCCCAATAAACATGCAACGTTGGACCATTGCACCAATGTTGGGCCAACGTTGGACCAACGTTCGCTGATGTGTTCGAGTTTATTTTGTGCAACCTAAAACCAACGCACAAAACATGCCATACACGGTGCACAATAGAAGTTGCTCGGTAGATTTTTGTCAAAACTTAATTTAAACAAATATATAATAATAATAAATTGTATCGTAATATATATAGGACTGCAGAGCTTGGCCAGTTTTTGGCACTGACTCAATGCCTGTCTGAATCAGCAATTAAAGCATTGCATTTGCATAAACGATGACAATACATGCAACTGAATACAGTCTATACATTTTCCCTAATTATATTTTCAAACGATGGGCCATTTCGTCGCATAAACCAACGAGTAAAATGTGGCGTTTCTTCGCCCATGAAACGTACAACTCAGGAAACCAAAAGCAGCTCAAAGATAGGGGGAAAAAAAAACAACAACAACAAACAACAGACATCGCCTTTTTTTTTCTTAAAAACGCAATTATATTTGAGAGGACGTGACCTGCCGGGCAGAGCGACGTTGAATTGGGGCGGTTGGGGAACCCGGCTACTGCCTCACCGCAAATACGCGTTGAGCAAACACCGTGGCAATAGTTGCAGGTTTGGACACGCTCGCCAAAGAGAAGGGATGGGGACGGTCCTTCATCACCGGGGGGAGGTGTGGTGGGAACAAACCGACAGCTGAGAACGCGGCCGACGCCGCGGTTGAATTGAATCACCCTCCGTATTTTTACTCACGGCTCTCTCTCTCTCTCTCGGAACGTCAACAACATTATATATTCTTGGTTCTTTCGGTAAAGTCACGTAAAATAAAAAATATATATTTTATTATTTTATTGTTTCCCTTCTACGCGGTGACTTTATCGAAAGAACCAAGAATATGAATCTCTGCAGTCACGAAAAGCTTTCAATCGAAAGTCAACAACATTGTTACGGAAAGGTCTCCACATTTGTGCTCCATGGGTATTGTTTACACGGGAGGCATCTCCCTTCAGTTCGGACTTAAGCCGTCAGTTGTTATTCGGGGGGGGGGGGGTTTGAAACGTCGTTCCGGGCCGAGAGCGTCGTGGCATCATTAATGTCAACGGCTTAGTGGCCTGCGAGCCAGGCGTTCTTTATCAAGGAACAGGCATGTGGGGGATCAAATGGCAAACTTTGACCGGGCACGCAAAGGGGTGCTGGCCTCTATCCAGTGAACACCACTGCGGCGGTGACGTAGAGTGTCCTAACTTTAGAGCCGCAATCTTTTTTCCAAGAATCGTATCGACAATGCCGTGCGTTTCGGCAAACATTTTAATTCAGTTAATGTAGTGATGGCCAGGTGATCGGGGTCACTGAGCTGGACGAGCACTGAGATCCTGGGTCGGTATCCGGATTTCAGTCAGCTGTGGTTAAACGGGGTTCTCAAGTGTAGCGAGTCATCGGCGACTGTATGTAAGAAATGTAGTTTTAACTTATGTTGGCTAAATTCCAGCTCTGAACATATCAGTTTGACTGCCATGCGTCGAACATTTCCGTTTGGCAGGGCGTGTGAAAAAGTGCAGCATGCCCCGAGTGCGTGCGTGTATATGATCACAACAAAAATTACATTTAAGTTTTAACATTATGAGACCTCCTTTGCCAGAAACAAGATATAGGAATAGGTTTTACCCTTTTAACCGGCACAAAAACTGATACCTTTATTCAAGGCATCATGTTTGCAATGACCACAACACAAGCAGTCAAAATGCAAACAAAAAAGACAACTCTGATAATAATATGCACTGTCCTTGAATTTGATTGGTCCACACCCGAGACAGCTTTTCTTAGAGCCTAGTCTCCATTGGTGTTGGACCAGAAGACGCCAAAAGGCGTACAACTCAAAAACAGCGCACTATCAGAGTATTGAGGGCTCGGGGTGAGCATTAACATTATGAGACCTCCTTTGCCAGAAACAAGATATAGGAATAGGTTTTACCCTTTTAACCGGCACAAAAACTGACACCTTTATGCCGGGTAAAAGGGTAAAACCTATTCCTATATCTTGTTTCTGGCAAAGGAGGTATCATAATGTTAATGCTCACCCCGAGCCCTCAATACTCTGATAGTGCGCTGTTTTTGAGTTGTACGCCTTTTGGCGTCTTCTGGTCCAACACCAATGGAGACTAGGCTCTAAGAAAAGCTGTCTCGGGTGTGGACCAATCAAATTCAAGGACAGTGCATATTATTATCAGAGTTGTCTTTTTTGTTTGCATTTTGACTGCTTGTGTTGTGGTCATTGCAAACATGATGCCTTGAATAAAGGTGTCAGTTTTTGTGCCGGTTAAAAGGGTAAAACCTATTCCTTTACATTTAAGTGTTCATCCCTGTGCCATTTTCCGACACACAGCGTCCATACACTGCTTGCTTGCCAGAGGTCCAAATTGACACTTTGTCTCATATCGTGAAGCCAATGGCTACGCGTGAATTAAGTTGGGTACACGATGAGAGAATAAAGGGGAAAAGTGAAGTCTATCAAAATTATTCCAGGTGGGATTGCACCACACTCCAGCAATCCAGGGCATTGAGTTAGTAGTGGGTGATGCTGACATCGTCATGTGCTTGAGGCACCCACCTGCCCGTTCAGCAGGGCGCCTGTGAAGAGAGAGTACAGCGAATAAGTTTTCTCCCTCGCGAAACCAAAGACACGCGTTCAGCTGTTGATTTAAAGTTTTCGTGACTGCAGGGATTCATATTCTTGGTTCTTTCGGTAAAGTCACGTAGAAGGGAAACAATAAAATAATTGCTTTATATTTGTATTATTTTATTGTTTCCCTTCTACGCGGTGACTTTACCGAAAGAACCAAGAATATAAATATACGTTCAGCTGTTGGCCGAGCCGAATGAAACTGAAAATCCAACAGGCATGGACTCGGAACGGTCAAAAATAATAGTGCAGTAAAGTGATGAACACGGTGTGAGTCGTGTATTTGTGAGTAGGACACCGCTATGCACGCCCGTGCCTGAACGCATGTCTCATTAGGCTCTCCGTGCAGGAAATTTGCGAGTCACTCCTGGGCAAAACACAACAAAACCATTGTTTCACAATCTGTGAACTTTTGCACAGATGCAGGGCTGACCCAGTGTTGTTGTCTGCGGCGACAGGAGGATTCACGTTATCCCCTTGGAGGCTTCGCGCTCAAAAACAGCATCATCTCGGCCATGGGAGAGGACGGCCTCCCGCCCGGTACGGAGACAAAGATCCCCCGTGTAGCCTTAACAGACTGTTGGGGCAAGTGCTGTTAGCGGGCACCCTATGAAGGCCGACACAGCTCACGAGGGGGTGGGTGGCCAGCACCGTGCCCGGCCGCCTTTGTCTCCCCAGTGGCAATGTTTACACACCGCACAAGGTATTAACTTGAGGCTGAGTCGACCTAGGGGAGGCCCAGCACCGGTTCAGATAATCGTCACTGGTGTTGGCCGTGAGCGGGAATCCAACTCGGGAAAATCCGGGTTCGTAGTAGTGCAGCGTAGCGCTAACCGCTGCACCACCGCTCCCCACGGAGAGCCAACACACGCGCATGGCGCGTGGCCGACCACCGCTTCTGGCTTGCACGGGGCCGGTGGCCCGCCAGCCAGGTCAGCGAAAAACAGGGAACCGGCCAGCTTTGGCATTCGATCACATGGTCTTCCAGAAATAAAATGAACGTTTTCCAAATTTGACGCACGATGTAAAGTTTAAATTTGGTCTGGATTTTTCACGAAATTACACTTTTTTTTGCAGCAGCAGCAGTCTGCTTACCACAAAATGTGGCACTCGACAGTTTTCTTTGCAGGGAGATTGTTTGGCGCGTTAAAAGTGAAACTAAAATGCACACGAGTGTAAAAATAACAGGATTCATCTAGAAATAAAACAGCTGCCGGGCCAACCACAAAACAGAAACAGTGCAGACCACAGTCACGTGAAGTACTACTGTACAGTACAGCAAAGCAGACGGAACTTGCTAGAGTAAACCTACAACTGAATTCTGAAATGAAAAGCAACAACTCTCAGATACAGAACCAGCATTGCTTGTTTTAATGTACAGATTCTTTCTCTTTGCTTGTATTCGAAGAGGAACGTCACAGCGTTGAATACAGCTACACACATTTCTCCACGTACGAAGGACGTTTCGTTTGTTCTCAGAGGAAGAACGTGTTCTCGACTTCCCATATGTACGAGTCAGCTGTAGAACATAGAACAATACAATTTCTGTTAACATCCCCAGTCGACAAGAAATCGCGTGATGCTACAAGCACGGCTACCGCCACGTTATTGTGAGCGCTTAAACAAATGTAAACACAAAAATGTAATTACCGTATCTACCGAAATTAACCTGAAGTGGGATTTACCGCAATTATCATTTGGCATGCACTCCTTTCCCTGGGTGTGTTTGAGAGAAAACATTGCTATCGTAATTCGACAAAGAAGTTGCATTAAAACACATGAACGTTTAAACAAACGAGCGGAAGACCCAATTCAGTGAAAGAATATTAAAAGAACGATAAAAACAATTATAAGCATGATTCCTACGAACATTTAAAGGCGTATAAATGTATACACACAGGTCCTATGCGGATTGTAACATCGCAGAACCGTAAGAGACAGCATCAACTTGTCTCTCACGGTTCCCCCACCTCCGATGAACATGGTTGGCTACGTACGGTGTGAAAGAAGTTCAAAATATATACATACAACTGGGCCAGACCTCCGTCTGCCCGTTTCTACCGCTGGATGGACAGGCGGGGGTGGAATTAATTCAAACAAAACCTGCAACGTTGTTTCAGCTGCCACACCTGGAGATCAGATCAAACCAGCGACCTCTGGATTGCGCGCCCAGTGTGATAACCATTAAACCACGACAACATCCCTTATTTCTATAGGAAGCTTTGATAAATCAAAACTGTTACTAAACTATTTGTTTTATTTTACCAAGGTAAGGCCCACTGAGCTAGATGGCTCTTTTCAGACATCACAAATGATAGCTCAACGAAGTAGCTTATTATATATGGAAATATATAGCAGCCACATGCTCTTAAATGCATGTTGATTCTAAATGTGGAGAGAAACATCGGAGAAGCCGGAGAACATGAAAAATAAAAAATATACAGGTGTCAGGGTCCAGATCGAACCCACGACCTCCTGCATACCAAGTGATGTAGTTAACATCTTACCACCGGTTTTAGTATTAATAATAATAGCATTATTAATAATACTAAAAGCGTATTCTCCAGATTACAAGGCGCTCCGGATTGTTAGATTCACCCTAAACGTGTGCCCGGTGTAAGTAAGGTGATGCAGATCTGGTCACGATTACACCTTTTTCTCTTGAGACCTCTTTTTCCACTGTGCAACCCGAAGCCGTGCCGAGCCAGCCCCCGGCACTGGCTCGGCACGGCCATCGCCCCGCGGCGGCTGCGCAGCGCAGAAGCGAAACGCGGAGGCGAACCCTTGCCCGCCTCGAACGCGCTCACGTTCCTCTCCGCTCGCAGGCGGGGACAAGGTGCAGGGCAACCTCATCCACATCATCACGCCAGAGGACGTGCACTACTACCTGCAGGCCAGCACATCCGCCGAGCGGCAGCAGTGGATCGAGGCCATCAAGCGCCTGTGCTGAGCACGTGGCTCGCAGCGCTCCATAGGGAGCCCGCGGGGTGGCGGCGCTCTAGCGCCGCCTTGCGCCGCGAACCGGGCGGCCCGAGTTCAATTCCCGCCCCCCTCCCTCCGGCCCCTGCTTGCGGCCAACACCGGTGACGATCATCTGAAGCGGTCCTGGGCCTCACCTAGGTCGACTCAGCCTCCAATTAGTAGCTGGTGCGGTGTGTAAAAACCTCAACACTGGGGAGACAAAGGCGGACAGGCGTGGTGCCGACCACCCACACCCCTCGCGTGCCATTCCGGCCTTCATAGGTGCTCGCTAACGACACTTGCCCCAACAATCTATTAAGGCTATACGGGGGATATTTGTCTTTCATGTGAAACCTGCGGTTCTCACAATCAGCCGGTGAACACCGCAAGCTCAGCCGTACAGAGTTACCGTGTGGATTTTGGTGACATTAATCGGGAGGGCCGAGGATAAATGAACGCCCCTCCCCCCCTTGTCCCTGTTGCCGATTGGTGCGTGGGTGAGCGGTAGGAGAATCATTCGGAATGTAGCAACCAAAACGCGTCAAGCAGAGCCAATTGACCCCCGAGACCCCACACCACATTTGCCTTCACGAGTCCGCTTGTTATGAAATGGCCGAGTCACAAGCGGATTCCATTAAAAACATTTTTGTAGTTTTTTTAATTTAAACAGGCCACCAACATGGCATTGCAATGACGTGTACGAGCAGTACCAGACGGGGGGGGTGTAAATAAAAAGGTGAAATTTCAATAGGAAGCTCCAATCAAGTTCAATAGGAAGTTTTTTTTCCATCTTTCCGTACTTCATTCACATCGCTGAGAAACGCACATCGCCTTAGCCCAATTCCCTGGCCATAAAGTTCCAGAGGGGGGGTGCTCCTACCCCTTCCCCGCTATGAAAGCATTGACTCACTCCCTCCCTCCCCACCAACTTGTAAAATGGGGGTTCCACCCGTGTTGATATGCTTTGTTATATGCAAAAAAAAGCTCATGTATCCGAACTACAAGTCACTGCGCGCCTCTGTGAAATGTTGGGTGTGCATGCATGTGAAGGGGAATCCATGGGAGTCGTCCTGGCAATGGAACTTCACGGCTCACATCAACACCGACACTCGTAGGGCAGGCACAGCACGGACGCTTGCAGCGCACCGACACACGTGGTTGACTTCAGCCGGAGCCCCGAGCCTTAGCCCCCTGCCTCTTTATAAACCCTCTCGCCTTTTTTCCCCCGCCAAATTGTATCTTTTGGGGTTTTTTCCCCCCCCTCCTATCCCCTTTTCTTTTGCCTTTCTTGCCGGCGCCTTTCTTTAATTTTTTTTCTCTCAACGCACTCCCTTGACCCCCTTGCCGTGACCCCTGCATTCAATCCTAGCGGGTCCTGGCACGACATTCACATTTGCATGTTTGTGATGCGCATGCACTCAGTATATGGGGAAAACAGCGACGGCCGCCATTCGCCACGAAGTGTCGGTGACGTCACCACAGGGCTTGTGCCAGGCTAGGTGCACTTTCAGGCCATAGGTCAGGGGACAAACCCAGGTGCTGTGGGTTGACTGAAATGCTGTGGGTTGAATGAAATGACTGCCAACTTGCTGTGTTTTAGCCTCCCGTTGCTCCGCTCGTTGTTGCGAGCGTCGCTCTTCTGCCCTCTTATTATTGAAGGGCGACTGCCTCCAACTGCCCATTAGCGTCGTTCAATGAGCACGAGCCTGTTTGGATCTTTTCTCGGTGGACACACCTAGAAAGGCCGGCACGGCACACGAGATGGTGGGTGGCCAGCACCACGCCCGGCCACCTTTGTTCTGGACCTCTGGGAGGCCCAGGACCGGTTCAGATTACTCGCAACCGGTGTTGGTCGCGCGTAGGAATTGAAGTCGGCTCATCGAGCGGCGAAGACGAAAACAAAGAACCCCCATATAGCCTTAACATACTTTCGGGGCAAGTGCTGTCAGCAGCTCGCAGGCTTGGTGATATCACTGCCACTCAAGTGGTACGTGGCAATCGTCGTTTTTTGTTGTCTGTGTACGCGTGTGTCGAAGTGAACGCAAAACGACACAAACCCATCGGAGTGGAAAGGTTCAGGATGAGGGATGCTGAATTTTCTGCTGATATGGATTCTCATAAGGGGCCATTATGCCTCACGGAGTGTTTAATTTGGCCATCCATGAGGCACGGAGTCTGCGGAATGCTGTAGTGCACCATCCGCTGCCCGTTTGTGTAATGAACTCGGCCAGTTCCATACTGGCAAAGCCACACACGTTCACCATTCATCCAGCGGTACAGCGACTACCGTGCCAAACACGTGCTCAACAATACTACTGTTGTAGTAGTAGTAATACTATAACCGTATTCTCCGGTTTATAATGTGCACCCATAAATGTGTGCCCGACGTCAATAAGGTCATGCAGGCCTGGTCTCATGCACACGGCTACCGGATTATAAGACGCACCCCTAACTTTTTCTTAACAATGCAGTGACAAGAGGGTGTCTAAATAATCCAGAGAATACGGAAATAGTAAAAAATATATAATGTTCAACCACTGTCACTAATAAAGGAGCTGCACACGCCATGTCATGAGGGTTGTTTAGCCTTACTTCACCACACTGGGGGGGGGGGGGGGGGTTCAGGATAGTGCAGATATCAGTCGCTACCGATTTTATCCATGACCAGATTTGACTTCAAATCGCAATGTTAATAGTGTGCTAACCGCGGTGCCACCGCTCCTCCACTTATGTTAATGTAACTTCGTTTTTTTTATCCGTCTGCCTAACAGCTGTGCTGGATTCGAGTTGCGATGTTTTAGACGATAGCGAACAACTGACGAAGTTTGCCAAGTGGCTCAGAGAATACTTGAGCCAACACTGCTGTCAACCTGGGTTCGATTCCGGGTCTCCGCCGCCCGTGACTTAAAAAAACGGGTTCTAAATTGTAGCCCAGCCCCCGTAGATTACACAACACATCCATCCCATTGACTTTGGTTTCGAACTCAATAGGGTAAAATTACAGCGATTTAAAATAAAAAAATAAATGGAATACGCCTGCGCCGAGACATACACAGGAATTGGCGTCTGCGTCTGAAAGAGCGCCCCTACTACCCTCGAAAGAATAAAACGACCACTTGAAGGATTTGTTTGGGGGGTATAAAATCCCGTGCAATATCTCTTCCACTGAGATTCTCCGGCAAAGTGAGCCGCTCTATCACGTTTCTGAATGTAGTCTTCATCTGGTGGCATTGTGCCGATTACCACAATTCGCCTACATTTTTTTAAATTAAACAAAATGTTCTTGTAACAAAAAAAGAGGTAGATTTGCTTTGCAATTTTTTTTTACCAGTCGGTCTGCCTCGTGAAAATGAGCAGGAAAACAAATTGGGCCCCATGACTGAAATTACGAGAAAACATCGGAGGAAGATTACATCACGTTCGTGAAAGGCATTCATTGTGCTACGCCCTTACACAACGGCAGACTGGAACAAAAAAAAACTCTACCCACCAGCAGTTTAATTCTGGCAACTTAGAAAGCACAATAGCAAACATTGTACACCCACGTATGCCATGGCATTCCCCTCCCCAGCCAGCATCCCATTGCGCCAGTACAGTGCCAAATTAAAATCCATCCTCGCTGCGCCATATGCCGCCCACACAGCTCTTGCAGTTTCACAGAGACGGCCGAGTCAGGCTTTTGTGATCGTGGCAGGAAGCTCCGTCTCCCCATCGTGAGAAGCCGCAACCATAACCGCGAAAAACGTCGTCGTTCGAGAGAGAGAGAGAGATAATCCACAGTCTGGCGGCATGTTGCCACGTTGTACGTCGTGAAAGTCGAGCTGGGCTTCTTCGTTTCTTTGCCATATTCCATCGACCGATTGATTGTCGGTGAAGTGATGTTTTGAATAATTATCTGACAACACGACAAAAATAGTTGGGGGGGGGGGGGGGGAAATCTCAGCTCTGTTGCCACGTGTAGGAGACAAACAGCCATTTCATTTAGAAAATTGGCGAGAATAATCGACCACGAAAAAAAAATGCCAACGTATACATTTCATTTTCATGAATCTATTTAACAGACTACTCATCCGAGCGGTAATTACATTGTTCGCTGCGAAGTAACTTCACCGAGTGGAGATTTTTTTTAATTTATTTTCAATTGTGCCCCGAGTCTTTCCCAGATACCAACGTGCCCTTGTCTTTGGCGGTTTGAATAACAACAATAACCGCAAATGCACGCAACCAGTCATGGTCGTTTCGCACATGTGGCCAAGGCCAATCATTGACTCGCCGCGAGTCTCTTGGAAGCATGCCCGTGTTTACCTTCCCACACTGAGGCCAAATGATCTTTGCTTAAACGCCTGACATACGTGTCTATCTTTAATGAACACACAATCAGGCGCACCCAGTTTAGGAATGGCTGAAGAAAATAATAAAACAATGTACTGTACTTATTTATTCAGCATAGCCATATTGAGTCGAAGCACCCTTTTTCAGGAGAGAGGCCTGCATTTTATTTAATTTAAGATGTTTTCAGCCAATTCATACAACTGGCAGGAAACCAGAGCAGCCGGGGAAACGAACGCGTGAGCGGAGGCAACCCTATATCCCCGTACAGATGGAAACAGATGGTGATTAGTCAACTTGCTGTACTACATCTGACTGGCGAGCCGAGGGTATGGCATCTCCTAGACACCCACGGCAAGGGGGTGTGGAGGAGGTGCCATCACAACCTTGGCTCCCGCACCTCCGATTAGCACGGTTGGCTACGTACGGTGCGACAGACGTGCAACATGCCGCACGGACATACGAGAGAGTTTCACGAAATTTGCGTGGTCGCACAAACCCTCGCCTCTACAGTGCTGGATTACAGGAGTTGTTCCACTACCGCCTGACAACGGATAAGTCCGTATAAGTCCGTTGTCCACATTATTATCGGATAAGGCCACGCAAATAATGGTATTGACGTGATGGTTTATTTTCGCCTTCGTAGAGGTATTCGCGGAAACTTTCATTGAATTCTCGGCTCGCGCTCTGTGGCTGTGTGCGCGTCTCTTAAAGTATGCTAAATGTAAAATGTCGGTGCACCCATTTGCTCTGTTAACGCCTGTGACGACGTGACGTAACGTCGTGTACGGTGATTATTTTGTGTTAAG